TTCTTAGTCAAGTGAGCCAACTTACTTTTCTACAAAATACATTTAGCCCGTCAGTGATAGTCCGCAAATTACACTTCATTATGGTCATATGGGCAAAGTAATTTCCTTCCAGAGCTAGTAATTTGTGAGCATTACTGTATATAATATTTCATATTGCAATTTAATGGAGTAAAGACTGTTTTTTAATATGTGCACTGACTGTTTTCTGTTGAATCGAGAACCAGTTCTGAAATCAAATCATGACCCCAAGAATCAGGATCAAGTTGGAAGATTTCCCTCTTAAATCAATCCATTAGTTATTTTCTTGAATTCCTTGAAAAGTTTTATTTTTGTGCACCTGGCAGCATAGTATATAAAATTAATTACGTTATGTAGTCAGTGCATGCATGGCGAGAACATAACTGGGCCAACAATTCTTGGTGGTGAAAAATGGCATGACGAGATAGGAGTTGTCAGCGTTGATCCACACAGGAATGGAGCATCAAGAACACAGTGGGTGGTGGATGCTGTAAGTGTCAACTTCTCGATCAAAGCAACCTGCCAGCATAATTGGATTCTTTGAATACATAGTTATGTAATTATTTCTGCTGCAGTAGAACTGGGTACAGAAGGTTTTTCCTTCTTTCAAAATTGAGAAAATAAAAAGAAATTTCTTATTGTTGAATCCCACTCACTACTGTTCACAACAAAGCCACACTGCTCCCTAGCCTTCATTTGGACATGTTTAATCAAATTTAGGATGTAGAAAATAAAGCACTGGGGGGAGCATGGCAAGCTGTAATTTTTTTTAAGGGGGGAGGTGAGAAATGATTTGTGTGCAGTGTTGTGACTGGCTGGTGGGTTCCATAATTCCGCAAAAAAACTGCTGAGAGACAAAGACAGAACATCTGCTTGACACATCTGAAGTGCAGTCTTGGATGAAAAATAAAAGCTGATGACAGTAGGAGTTCCTTATCCTGTTGTATTCTTGTCTGGTGTGAAGAAGACATCTGCACTGGAATGATTGCTCAAGAAATTTAGATATTAATTTTGGCCAATTTCCATCAAATTGTCAGAAACAAGATGAAGCAATAATTGGTCTTGCCATGCAGCAATCTGTGAACATTTTCCTTCGTGTCATACGCAATTTGGTATGCTCTGTAATACGATACTGCATTCTGAGCATGTCTCTCATCCAGCTTCCCTTTTTGGTGTCTGAAATCTCGGTAGTCTCTTGGTTTTGGGAGTCATGTCCTCAATATATATATATAGGTGTGGGAAGGCAAATGTGGAGGACATGGATGTATCTTTTGATGCTTTATAAAATAAGAAACTTCAGCATACATTATGAGAGGTCTTTCATGAACATTGGCAGAACAAGCTAAAGGCAGATGCAGTACTTAAATAAGTTCTGTTTGAGGTGTGATTCAGGAAAAACACACACCAGCAAACAAATCTCTATAGTCTTTGCAATATGTCACTGCTTTTGACACATAATCTCTACACCATTTTTTTTTTTCTGTCCAAGTCTGCTACCTCTTGATGTTTATGACATTTCAACACCGCTGCGATCGCCTATTATGGACTAACATTTTGCAAAGCTTGTTATACATCAAAACTTGGGGGAATAATGTTTCTCAAGCTCAGTGTCATACCTGACAGCATCTGTCATTTGTTATCATGCGGGTTGATATTTTCTAATTGGGTGCATGGATGGTTTTCTGAATCCTAAACAACTTCTCCAGGCAAGCCGTTATTGACTTCCAAAGTGTTCCCCAGCTGTCAAGCACTTTAATGCTGTTTGTAAAGAAATCATTTTTTCTTTTTCTTTGTTCTTGCAGTGTTTTTGCTTCAGGTTATTGGCACTTTCTTGTACTTCTGTAGGTTTGAGTTGTTGACAAAAATATATAGCATGGTTCGCTGCTGTTGTTAGTTTTAGGAGCCAGACTCTGTATATATGGTTATATATTGAGTAGTGACACAATCTGTGTAGAATGAATATTTAAAAGTACCCTGTACATCCTGGCTATATCTCATTGCCTTGGTTTACATTTTGGAAAAACTAAAAAGTTATGCTGACAGTTATATCCTTGTGAACTAATTTTTCTGACTTTAACAGTAACATTGTGTCTGGGAAAGGGTCACAGTTGTTACCAGTAATACAAACATTGCATCAAAAGCTTATTCATTTAAAGCTCCAGTTAATTGTTGTGTTACTCAATTGTAAGTAGTATAATCAGCAGCTTTATCCCTCTATTAGTATGTACAGAGGATGTGTTCAGGCACAGTAGTACTGTGTAGGTCATCTGTGTTTTGTGGCAGCGTTCAAAACCCAATACACACTCCAAGAAGTTACACATGTAAAGTTTGACTGTAAAAATACACTTTGGGACACATCTACACACACACACACACACACAGTCTAGTAGTCTGACTGAAGATGGGTCTTCTACCAGGTCTGGTTATATGTCAAACACACAATTCTCTAATTTCAGTAAATATGATTTTAGATTGGCCATTTATTGGTTGCTGGTTTCACTGGTGTCATTCTTTTGTTATTAACTTAACAAATATGTACATAATAGATGAGAAGCAGGAACAAAGAGCAAACAGAAAAAAAGGTACAGCTGTTTAAGTAGTGCTGTGGCATTGAGTGCAATGCAATTGTGTGTTACAGTACTACGCCACTTCGCTGGTAGGGTGAACAAAATCTGTGTGTAAAAACAAGGCAGCTTCGAAAACATTGCACTTCATCTGTCAAAGGTTCCCCTGATGATTCATCGTAGCTGACATCAGTGACAGAAAAACCGGAGCGATGGAAATCTATTCAAATGTGGTGAGGCTCAATTTCCCCTTTCATGAGAGAATTGTGGATAATATGTTGGACCCAGACCAGTAGGGGGTAAAATAGCTCCATCAGTCTTTTCCAGTCAAAGTGAGGTGGAGGGAAACAAGTGAAACGCCGATGCATAACACTGACATTTTTTAATAGAATTCATTTATAACAAATGGAACTTGTGTCAGCAAAGAACTGATTTTCATACAGACTTCTTTCGCCACCAATGTAACCTAAGTAAGAAAATAAAAAGCACTCCTTTCATTCAGAAAAAGAAACAGTTTACGCTTACAACTAATCAGAGGTAATTGTATGATCTTTTTAACAAGCCATTTTTTTACAATTTCATTATTAATTTTTCAGTCTATGCATCCAGACGAGAGATAGATAGAGAGAGCAGAGAACACAACGTTTATTTCTGTTAATGACACTCCAAGCTTGAATGGCAAAGCCACAAGAACAGATGGTTGGGGGACAGATTTTTCTGAAGTCATCTGCTGGAGTAACCATGGCATCAGAATGGATGCTCTTTTTCGCCACAAACTTTTTTTTTTTTTGTCTTTTTCAAGAGTTGATACCTTTTTTGTGTTATTTACATACACACAAAGTGAACGTTTAAGGAGATTTTTTATAGATGGGTTCAAGTAATATATTATTGGGTTTAGAATCAATAGGGCAGTGCATAGTACAAAGATAGAGAAAGTGCAAATCTTCCTACCAGGCCAGCTTTGGCCATTCTGCAATGTTTCACCATGCATATGAAAAATCAATAAAAAAGGGAAAGACTGAGATGAGAAAATAAACATGTTCTGAGACTTGAACATAATGTAACATTAGCCACCATGAGGTTAAATAATAGCACTTTTATATCTCAAAATTATGACAAAAGTAATCAGGTAAGCAGTCGACAAAAATAAAACACATAGCTGCTTGAGTTAACAAGGGAAAGAAAGCACCTGGAATGCACATCCACAAAGCCATCAAAGAGGGTATGGAGAAGTTAAAGATGCTGCTCAACATAAAGACTGAAAGATAACCAAACTAAACCCCAGTCTCTAACTTTTAATGTGGTAAGAAAAGGACGTGACACACAATATTTTGGTGCAGATTGTGTGTCTCTGTATCTGCTCTCTGTAGTGACACGTGAAGTTTGTGATTCAAACCTAAGGCATGAAGAGGAAACCCTTTGCCGTCCTGTACATTAGGTAATCTTTTTGACCGAATTTGAGTTTGACGAACCATTTTAAAATCAGAAAATTACTGCTGTAAAACGTTACCGTAGCAGCTATCTGCAACAAGCTCATTCATTTTATGTTGAGCCTTCATCGTGTTTAGTTCTGACAACAGAATTCTGCAGTCTGATCCCTGGCTCTATGTCTTGAAACTATAGTGTCTTAATGATTGTTTTCTGTAGAGTTCAGTGATATATAAACTATTTTACTCTAATTCACTCAGCCACAATAAGGCCACTGAAAATGAAAAATATGAGCTTTGAAATGTTCTTATTTGCATATATAATCTCATCATGTGACAAATGAATACTAAATAAAGGTAAATAAACTATACAATTACATTTATACTAAATGCCTAGGTTACTCAAAGGATATACATTAATATGTTAAATGAAACATTATAAAAACAGGCATAAATATAAGGCACTCTAAATGCAAAATGAAAAATTACCATTGAATGCTTTAAAGAACCACAAGAAAGTGACGTCTTTGTACCTTGCCCTATTGTGTGGAGCGGTGATTGCGGCTGTGTGACCCCTCTGACTTAAATTACATACTGTATGAGAGCTTAAAAATGCACCAGTGATGCTTTGACTGGCATCTGACATTCCCTCTCCCACACCTCACTTGCGGGGGGAACAATGTCATGAGTGAATGACATATCCACATAAAACCCTATCTAAAACACACATATTTATTGCACAAGAAAAGATGCACTGAATCAGAATACAATTTTGTCCTACTGATGTGCATTCCAGTGAAAAATCTCATTTCATTTCCCCCATAGCACACATCTCTCAATTTGGAAACTTTCATAGACAATCCATATTTCATATAGTTTTTACTCATAAATTATGTACTTTATCAATATATTTAGTGTTCTATTTATACTTTTAATATATCTTTCACATATATTTGACAATCTGTACCATATATTTATATATTCATATATCTTTTCCAATTCATCAGGTTCTCTCTTATCACCCTTCTAACATGGAAGAACTAAGATAATCGGTAGCAGCAACTTCATACTTTGCTCATCCCTGTTGATTCCACAAAGCCCCAGTTTATCTTATGGGATTAATTAAGTTACCATGTATGTGATCATGGACAGAAACAAAAACAGAAAAAAAAAAACAAAACAAAAAAACCTCCTGAACAAACTTACATTTTGGTAGTGTGAATTCCGTTCTGTGCACTAAGTGCAACAAAATTAGGGGAAAAAAATTAAAAAAGCAAAGAGATTCTCTGCAAAATAGCACATACGTCAGAACAGTTCTACAGCTTTAAAAAAAAATTAACATTTACGTAAATACGTTTTTATCACTTCTTCCAAGCGATAAATTTGTGTAAAAAAAGGAAATTCACACAGTTCAAAAAAAGCACATCAGCTGTATAATAAAGTACTAAAAAACTAAATCAATAATTTTTATTTATCTCATAGATCATTTTGAACTTTACCCTCTCCCAAAATTTAGATGATGAACATTGTGAAAGGAAAAGGGGTATTTATTCATTATTACTTTAAGTCCTTTATGTCCTGCTGTTGTGGACCAAGCATTGTCTTCTTTTTCGATGGGTTGTCAGTGTGTACTTGATTGTGAAACAGATTTTTTTTTTTCTTTACAATGTGCATCGAGTCCCCCCCCCCGCCCCCGCAATTCTGTGTGCCTCCAATGCCTCTCGTAATGGTTCATAATCACTGATGCATTTCTGACGATGTCATTATTGTTCATTTACTTTTTTGTTGTGTTGGTTTCATTCAGTTTTATGAGCCCCAAAATGAATCCTTGAAGCAAAAGAAAAGGTAATTCCGTATGATGCTTCAACAGTCAGGATTCCCTCACTTTGTGTCAAGGCGAGGTTTTATTGGGGTTGGGAAATACTTGGTCCTCCGGGAATCATCTTTTTCATTTTTTGACAAGTCATGTCGCACATCCAACACTTAATGAGTTGTTAGCAAGGAGTTAAGGAGTACTTTCTCAAGCAGGAATTTATGGCTCAGAAGAGAGGCTCACTGGGTTTTCTTTCCAAAGGGCCCTCTGCTTTTTTCTTCCAATACTGGGTCTTTTACGTTGCATAGTGATCAAAGCTTCCCAGGTACTCCAAGCCAGCTCTGTAGCAGAACTGGTATTGATCCTAGAAACAAAGGAGAGAAAACTTGAGCTTGCGTCCCCTCTTATGAATCTTAAGACACTAAATCTGTTGTATGATTCTTGGTACATTGTGCTTCTATCATAACTATTGTCATAAGCTAGAAACTAGACTCATTAAATTCATTAGATGCCTTTTCCATTGAATGAAAATACCCTTTTGTATTACAAAGGTACAGAGTGAAATGCTTTTTACTCACTTTTTTACATAGAAGTGGATTTTCAAAACTGTGAGTGAGGAAATGCTGGCCACTTGTTCTCAATTCATGTGATACATTTGCAGCGGAGAGCAGTCAAGACTACTCTAGATTGGTTTAGTTACTAAGTTAATCTTCTCTTTAATCAGGCTTAACACAGTAATAGATTCCATGTGCTGTCTGTGGTGTCACAAAAGCTAAAGTAGCTGCTCAGTACAGCTTGTGAGTTATGTTTTCTTTCCAAGTATAGTGGAAAAGAGAAAGAGGACATGGGAAAAAAAAAAAACACCTTACCTCTGTCTGCACCATAGCTGGTCTCTGTGTCCGTAACATTTTCACTGTCTGAAATATGTCTACTACGCCCTCGTATCTCATTCGTTCCAAGACAATGCTGAGGGTGATGAAAACTCCAGTTCTACCAACACCCGCGCTGTGCAAGACAGGGCAAGAAAGGTCAAGGGTGAAGCCAGCGAAACCAGATAAACATAGAAAAAGTTTGTTCTAAATCAAAACAATGTCTCATTGTGCCAATTGAGACATGATGATGATGATGATAAATTGAAGATATACAGCATTTGCAGCTCAAGAGATATTTGCATTCAGTGCAATGTGTGATGTGGTTTGGTGGGTTATGCTGGTCGGTCTCTTACCTACAGTGGACTGAGATAGGCCCATCTTGGCCGAACTGCTCTTTTGTTTTATGTACTTGACCAATGAAATCAATGAAGCCCTCTCCTGATTTTGGCACTCCTTGTTCAGGCCAGTCTGTGAACTGAAACTGCCTTACTGTCCGTGACTGTCCATCCTGGGAATAGAGAATGGGAAGAGAGAGAGAATGCACAGAGCCTGCTCTTTAAATGGAACATCAGTCAGAAACGTGGAAAAAAGGCGAAGAAAAACCGATGAAGGGAAACTAGGAAGCCAATCTGAGGTTTTTCGCAGACAGCCAACCCATGGCAGTTCATTCCATGACCGTCTCCATCATAATGATCCACGTCTTTGTGGGTTTTACAGTGAAACATGACATTCTTGAAAAAAATCTAGCATAGGCGCAAAGTTTAAACCATCAGAAAAAACGTTTTATTTAAGATGCCTGCCATTTTACCTGAATGTATTAAACATGAACACTAAAGATGCTAATTCCTTTGATGTGTTACCCTCGACAGGGTGCTTAGAGAATCGACTTTGAGGGTGTGCATTACTTAAGTGATATTGTATCCCCTTGATAAGGAGAGCAATCCCATTGACGAGACAGTGTAACATGCACTACAAAGAAGGGAGCCTGCGCCATTTATCTGTGTAAGCCTTTGATGGAATTAAAAACTCTGGCAGCTCAGTGCTACCGGCACCACATTTGTTTTTACACATTGACATGTGTCATAATTCCCAGAAATATATATTTATGCTTATATTACACTTAAGGCTACAGTTTGGTATAAACAGATACTTGATACAATGCCAAAATGTTGAGCTAATGACTGCCGATGTGTTCCATCCAGTATGTTCAATACTGTAATTCAGATCTAATTTCTTGGTGAATAAAATCACACAGATGCAACGAAAGTGTTAAAACATGTAAAAACGGAAAACTATTTTATTGGTCAACCCTTGGTGATCCATTCAATGTCCTAAAAACAACACACTAGACTAAACTAGACTAAACAATAGCACTGAATTTAGAGCTTGATTCCCACAACGTCAAATTTTGATCTTTAAACGTTCTATGAAACAATGTCTGCTTACCCTGGCATCAGTCACTTTGAACTCTCTCAGGATATACTGGGGCATGTTATACTCGGCCATGGGGTCCACCACAAAGTACTGGTATCTGGCCGACCTCTCTGCTGGCCAGTACTGGTGGCATTTTTCCTGTAGGGAGTGAAAAATAGAATACCACAATGAGCCACAACATTCTCGTCATACACTACTTTCATTGTGTTCATTCCCAGAATTTTTTTATTCAGTTCATACTGTAGCTACTGCTTAAAAGCTTATATTTTCATGGCTGAATCTATGTATGGTATTTCACATAAACTGTTTTGTAACGTGCTTTTGTGTTCTGTAGCCAGAATAAGAAACTTAATGTGCCAAAAAGAAATGGAAGAAAATAAGCATATGCATACCCTGCCCATTTCTCTAAGCTTGGTGAGCATAACGACAATAGTAGAGTTGTGCTCCCAGAGCATTCTCCAGAAGTCCTCTGTGGTCTCTGCCAGTGGTCCCTGTGTGGCAATATAGGCTTTCTGTTGCCTATGGGAATGCATAAATAATAATATAGAAAATGTGTGATACAATCAACATGGAAATACATGAGAATTTTGACTGAATGGTTTGACAATGTTAAAGACATAGTTGTGATGACAGATCAAAACATTTCAATGTCTCTCTAAATTCCAGTTAATATTAAATTCATATCTAATGTCGCTTCTATGAAATGCCAAGCCATTCTCTCACTTAGTGAATTTCTATACTACATCTGATTGACAATGGGTGTCAGAGTACGTTAGCACTTACCTGTACCCATCAATGAAACTGGCATTGATGTAGTCAGAGCCCTCAACTCCTCGAATGGGCTGAAGACACACTCGTGTGGACTCGTATGGCATTATGTTAACAAGGCGGTTCTTGAACTTGTTGCAGGGGAGATTGGCACTGATGAATCGTGATGTATGGGCTTTAGTGTTAGCTAAACGCTGCATCGAAACAGAGAAAAAGAGATATCTTTGAGCGTACTGGTGCCAGGTAAGAAGCACCGACATTCTGGTGTTTCTTTATCTCCCTGCTCACTGGCTGTGTTTGACACTAAAGGTGGACTGTATAAAGATCTGAGTACTATGAACAATTGCATGCCTTTGGATTTCCTACTTGCATGCAAGTAGGAAAGGATCCAAAGTAATAAACTGCACATAGTGGCTGATGAAATCTACACTATAATGGCTCATAGTGTACTGTGGTTATATACTATTTCACGTAACCATAAAGTATGGAAATGGCATCAAAGTGATTACTATCACGGCTTGCCTTTGCAGCCAAAAAAATAGCATGTTATGATGAAGACAGGTAAATGGATACCCAAGCGAGCGTGGAGTGGACAGAAGTGCAGTGTAATCTAACCTGTTTATCATCTCTTAGTGGAATCAGCATCCGTCACAGAGCAAGAAAGTAGGTGCGTGACAAGCAAGGCAATACAATGCATACAGCAATACCACAGACTGCTATGAGCTCAATAAGGTTGGTTGAGCCTCTCATTGTAAAGTATATTGCTCAAGCCCCTCTGGCAACTGTTCTGTGGTGAGGGAAACCTGTGTTTGGCGTTTTAATGTAAACCAAGACCCCTGTTACTCAAGGAAGTGGAGCTATGGGAAGGGGGAACCAGAAATGGGGGAATAAATCCTATGCTGGGTTATACAAGCGAGTCAACTAACTGGAATAAAGGAAACCACAGGCCCCATGCTGTCTGGCAGGGCTAATGGGAACTGGAAAAGAGTTGTACTAAGACTGGCCAACCAATGACACTGGAGACTGCATGTGACGGGATGCCAATGGGATGCCTGTAAATACTTGACACATATGACAAGTTTTTGGTGTAAAACTTATTAATATTTTTTAAGTAATCCCAGACCCAAACTATTTTGCCCATTGACACCTTTGCTTCAGCAAACGGTTTGTACCTTGAACTCAAGTTCCATGCCGGTGACATTCTCTCCACCCTCTATCTGCGTCAGTTTCTGGATGTAGGCGTATAGGTTTCTGGCGGGCACTTCGGTGGTGCCGCAGTTGACGGCCTCCTGGAGCGCGTCATGTATGAAGACATACTGGTCCTCTGTCTGCACCATGTAGTTGCGCTGGGCACGCATTAGCGTCACATGCCCGTAGATATCCACAGTCTTCTCGTGCTTGATACGTTCCAGCATGGCATCAATCACGATGAAGCAACCTGTGCGTCCCACCCCAGCACTGTAGTCAGAAAGAAGATAAAGAAGGAGTTATTGAATGGTATTCTCAATTGTAGCGGTACAAAAAAACTAAAACAAATGATGGACCACAATCTCACTTGTTGGAGCTTCTGTATTATAACTTCTGCAAATCTAGGCAACCATATGCAATGTGTCTGCCTGTATTTGATCTCCACTGAACGAAAGGAGGGGTAGTCCAGTGGAAGGAGAGGTGACTTTTGAAAACACGTGCATGGGCTTGAAGAACTCCTCTCCTAGTGATGAGGTAAACTCTCTGTGCCGAGTTTGCCACTGTAGGACAGACCATTTGGCTTGGAGTGTAATTAAATCTGAAGTGGTACTGTGCGGAGAAGAGGGCTAGGCAGTCGCAGCCTTCAGCGGGCTCACTGCTGGCTTTGCAATCTAGTCTCTCCCCTCTGGACCCCACCTGTGCTCTCCAACCCATCAGGACTAATCACTTATGCAACAGCAACATTTAACCTTTATCTCATGGTTCCGAAAAGTGCCACTACAACAAATGCATACACAGACGCAAATTTGAGAGTATGATTTTTTTTTTTTTTTTTGAGGGTTTTGTTAATGTGCCGGGCAACTTCTGAGAAGTGCAGCTGACTTCAATTAACGCCATTAGATTAGCACAGTGCACCCAAATGGCATAAGAGCTGTAGAAGAGGTGCTGAAAGGCAGGTCTCTTCATTAAGATTCACATCGGCACATTTTTACATTAGTGTGAAAAAAGCACTCTAACAAAGAGGGAAAATGTTTTACAGTTTCTCTTCGACCTCCTCTTGCAGGCCAGTTTGAGACATGCTGTTCAAATGTAGCCCACTTTTGCAGACTGCTGACGTGCTAAAAATGCTCACCCCTTCACATTACATGTTTTAATAGCGCATGCCTCAGCACAGAAGATGTTTTCTGATGACAATTTATTTACTGTGGGGCGACGGGGTGGTGGTAAATCTTGTTCGTTAACTCTCCTCCCACCTCCTGCAAAGCACAGCATTGACAAGACAAGTCCTTGCACTTGGCACTCCAAAGTAAATAGGTTATTCAATCCATTAAGCTGACATGCCTACGAGGTGTGAGCCATGCTCTTGTGCCTCCTCCTTCTGATGGAGCATTTGTTTTTCATTTGCTCTGAGGAACGGGGAAAGGGTTGAGAAGGAAAACTCAAGAGGGAGTAAAGTTAGTCCCCGGGGGCAAGTCTGGTTAATGTGCCATGCAGCTGGAACAGTGCTGCAAATGGAATAAAGACACGTATGGGAGTCATTGGCTTTAACAAATTATCTGATGATCACTTTCAAAATGGCTGACATTGGCTGAATGAGACTGAACTTTTTTCTTTTTTTCCTTTTTATTTTATTTTTTTTTACAAAACTTCACAGCTCTAGGGCAATTACAAAATGTGAATTTGAGTCAAAGGGAAAATCGGGCTGCAAAGAAATGTGAAAGTGTCTCAGGGATATGTGAGGAGTGAACCACTTCCAGGGCTGGGAACACCTCAGCCCTTGGGCGAGGGATGCAGAAACTAGAAAAGATTTCTCCCTTTACCCCAGCTGTTTCCAATCTGAAAACATGTTACAGTGCAGACCTGAATGTGGGAGAGTGATGACCTGCGAGAAAGTAAGTGACAGAGTGACAGCATTGAGTTTGAGAGACGGAGACAGAGAAAGATGAGGAATGGAGGTGAGGAGACAGAAGGTAGAGTTGTGTTATGTGGGGAGATGCTGCCAGGTATCTTGGAGTTGCTTAGTTCTCAAGTTAGTTTTATAAAAGAATGACCAGCACAAATACATATTAACCAAAATTTTCCTTCAATGTAAGAGCGGGAAACATGGAATACTCCTTTATAGACAAGTGACGTGTGTGAGGTGGTGCAGAAAGCCGTCGGAACATTTGGCAGTTGAAGGGGAGCTGGCGGACTGACTGCACTAATGACCTGACACTGCCTTTTCAGCCAGTCAAGACCAGCTGCTTTGGACGTCGGCACACATTAAGTGTCAGACTAATATGCTTTCCAGGAGTTTAGGGAATAGGGGATGGGAGAGAATGTGCAGTGTAAAATACAGCTGCAATGAGTCCCGAGAAGATAAAGCATGAGCAGCAGTGAAAGCAATTACATATGTATTGTTAACAAATCTCTTGCCGTCAGCTAACCTGTCACCATTTCCCTACACTGCCGATTGAACACACACACATGAACTTAAACTCAATGGGATCACTGCGTTGCTGTTAATGGAGTCAATAGTAATTTTAGTCCTTTGCGTGTATGAATACTTTTAAAAGTGTGGAAAGTAAATCAAAAAAGTAATTCATTTCCGACTCAGGACATATGGCTTTGCCCTCTAACTGGGTTTTGTAAGTTTTGCCACTTTCCTTCACAAACCACTGGAGAGTGTTGACTGCTGATGCTTGCTATTGTGACATGCCAACAACAGTAGGACAATTCCGCTTGCATGCAACTATGCCATGATGACAGGGAGGTGGAGTTTTGCGGCAGCACTCCTGAGTCATCCCTTTCCTTCCCTGTATTAGAATCACGACTGGAAGAGCATGTAAACTCGGTATGGCTTGAGGTCATGTTTAATTTTTCCACAAGGGATGTTTTGTACGACCCCATGGTACTAAACCCACTGGTGAGACTTTTGTGGCGTATGAGGTCTTCGATGGCGATGGTGGAAAAAGCCAGTGTTAAAGAGTTACTCCAGCCAAATCTTGTATGAAGGAAAAACATTGCTGCACTGACCACTTTGGGTTTAAAGGTCTGTTGAACCCATGAACACAGCCAGGTGTGACCAGGTGTGGTCTGTTTTCCACCCAGCTGTGGTCTAGCATTGTCTCACGGCAGGGTTGTGAGCAGGCATATTCGCCTGGGTGCAGTTGCTCCCTAACTCAAACTGTTTTTCACGATGAAAAGCAGCATAATCCAGTTTTCTGCTGTCCACTGTCACTTTTGCTTGAAACATGAAGTTTTGCCTAAAAATGGTTCAATACACAGCTTCTGTTTTTGCTAGAACATTGGCTGTTTACGCTTGTCATTTTTAACTACCGTAATTAAAGGCAGTTAGGTGAGTAGACTAGTACTACATTATGTGCTGGTTACCACAATACACATGCACAGTAATGGAAAGAAAAGAAAAAAAGGGCTAAAAATTGCTAGGTTGTTAGTTGAATCCTTTGAAACTGTGGGTTGTTTTATCAAAAGTTTCCCTTCCAAGTCACTGGGAGAGGCCACTGATCTCCACGACATTCAATCATGTCCTTTTGACCTCTTTCACCACCTCACAACGCCTGGGTAGCCCTTCAGCTAGAAGAGCAAAACAGTCCCTGACCTATGGGTTAGTGAAAAACAGCAGGAACTAGGAAAGCAGGAAACATGCTATAGTGTCCGTGGGAGGTAGGTTTCTGAACACGTACTGTGATTTCACCTTGTCAGAAGGGTTAGCTCTGCAGTGAAAACACATGAATGCATTTAGATAATTATTGTTAAACACGCCTGTGGTGAAACCGTGCACGCAAAATTCCTTGGCCCTAAGTTAATCATTAGTTGTCTGGCTTACATGTAAAGTTGTGTCACTGAAGCAAATAGATAAATCAATGAATAAAAATTTTAATATTTTGTTCTTCTCTCTAGAGTAATTTGAGCTTATTTAGATAAGCTCAACTAAAAACTATAAATGACATACAAAACACTTGTTTTAACTTTCTGGCTTTGTAAAATTTACTTCATGATGAAGGATAGAAAAAAGAATTATGCACAAAGTAAGACATGGTTCACCGCTAATCTTCCTGAAATCGTCATCAAAATGCAGCCTTGTGTATATCAAATGAATTGTTATGGAAAGTAATTCACGAGAATTCTGCAGTAGGTTGAGTCATTTGTTACTGTTTTGTAAGACAGAAGAATAGTTTATGGACACTCGTGGAGGATAAAATTATTGGGTGGTTATATTGAAGGATCTGTGTGTACTATAGTCAGTAGATAATGACAATTATGTTTTTAATTAGTGATTTTACAGAGACTGGGAACAGTGTACAGTTTATTTTAAACGGTTCTAACTTCAACTTCATATGCCACCACAAACAAATCTGGTGCCTGTGATTGTTTATTTTTATGTCTGTATGGTCCCTAACCGTCAGCACGTTCATACATGGGGCTGTAAGCTGCAATTCAATTTTTGGTGCACCAACTAATTAATCGACCACTCGAGAGACTGTACCATGCTGTTAATTATGGCCAACAAAAGTTTATTTTTCTTCTTTTATTTAGGCCTCTCTGCATGTGCATAAATGGCTTCTGCAAAATGTACAGTATATCTCTGCTTTACCACAAAACACTGAACATTATTTTGCAAGTACACAAATATAAAAGATGGCTCTGTTTTAAAAATTTTGGTCAAACATGAAGTGAGGAAATGTCTCTCAAAGGATTTGGAGCTTGGAAATGACTGCATCTGATAGGGAGCCAGAGGAATTAAAAACTCCCATCTGCGCAGTGACAGTAATTCCTGCATTCTGCTTCATTGTAAAAAGTCAGGATTTTCAATTTGAAGCGATTCTGCAACTAGCTCTAATTAACTTCAGCATGTGGTAATTCTAATTCTTCAGTAATCCCCCTTCCCTTTTTTGTCACTTCCTGACACAAGTTTGTATCTATTACACTCACTATCGCTGTTTCTTCATTTGTACTGCCTTTTTTCCCCCTTCAGTCACTTGATTTCTCTGTACGAAGCCTCTGATGACTTCCTAAGTTGAGAGGAGCTAGAAGTCTGTGTTATATCCTCGTGCCTCTCTGCTGGGAGTCTGGCCGCTTATGTAGTTGAGGGAAGTGAAGTTGGCGTGACAGTGAAAGTTATTTGTTTCAGATGCAATAACCCAAGGGAATAAACCAAGGCAACTTGTGGGCTACTGATGTGCGACATGCTTGTGGTGTAGCAAGGAACACGGCAGGTCTGCGTGTGTTTGTGTCAGTGTCAGTGTGCGGGAGAAAATGTTTAGGTTTGCTGAAGGCAATGACACTCATACACTCTGTTCTGTGATGTTGAAAGCACCTTCAGATTTAAAGTGTCTTCTGTGAGCGACATTTCTTCTAGTTCATGTCTGATCTGTTTTTTTTTTTTTTTAAATCTCCATTATAACATATAAACCTCTAAATAACCATGAATGTATTGTATTTTGTCTTAAGTATTCATATATTCATTACAGCAAATGGAGAGAACAAAATCAATTTCATGCTTTGGTATGTTTTTGTGAAACCATGTTGTTTCTTACCTGCAGTGTACCACCATGGGCCCTGCATCTGGAGGATTGCAAGCTTTCACCCGTCTCAGGAAGGCCAGGAACGGAGTGGGGTGCTCTGGCACCCCGTGGTCTGGCCAGGCTGTGAACTGGAACTGCCTCACCTCTCTCTTCTCACTGGAGCCATTCTGAATATGAAGGTGGAGAAAGGTTAGTGACCAAAACGACTTGCATCAGATACTTGACAGTTACTGTGGGGTCTAAAAGGACAACAAAATCCAAATGCTCCTTACTTTAAAAAGTGCAAATGTCCTGACACAGTATGTGGCCAGTTCTACTGTGTCCAGCAGCGTCACTTGAATGAGGCCGTACGTCTCCGTCCCTCTAGTAGGCCAGTATTGGTCACATTTCACCTGCAGCGCAAAGCAATATTACATTAGACAAGGTCCAGATGGGAATATATATGAACGCACTCTGCCCTGTACTTAGGGCAGATTAGTCTTGATGCATTTCTGTATTAAAAAAAAAAAAAAAACTTTATCCAGTTAAGGTGTATTTACGAAGTACAAATATGCACAAAGTCAATACAATAATGGTAAAATAAATAACCAGATACGCCACTACTGCTGACTATGTTTGATTTCATAATCAATGAAATGGCCTGAGATATTTGTATAGAGCCGACAGTGCTATTAATTGTCCTGACATACTCTATAATTACAAAGGTAACCACAGTTTCCAATCATATTACCGGCTCAGCTTTATTGCTATTCGAGTGTACAGCTTTGTTTCCCAGTTAACGGCCAATAAAACACTGTTCCATTATAGCATTACTGCTTAGCTGACAAAGGGAAGCACTATTGGTGTTGGGGAAGAAATAGCTGGGTTCCAATTCAATTGTTTTTCTTCATATTGTCCATTAAAATTGATGTGGTTTTAGCACTATGTTGAACACAATCAAAATGTCATCATGGCATTACAAGTCCTGATGCTCTGTGACTGTTGAAAATTACAACTGGACACCAGTTGTTAAATATTTGAATATTCCAGTGATACAAGTGTACCATCCACCAGTTTCATTTCCTAAGCAGTTGTTATAGCATTGACACCGGGAGTAATGAAGCGATTGTAACACCAGGAGTAATGAAATGATTCATAATAGAGTTTACTTGCAAATACGCAAGCTTTATATATATGCAAAACATATAAATACAGCTTGAGTGCTTCCCAGCGAATGATATGATTAATATGAAAGACAGGAGCTGTTGGCAGCAAACAAAAGCACATTATGTACAACAAATGTCAAACAACATAATGGTATGGCAGGGTCAGCGAGGGTGGGATGTCTCACAAGACACCTTTACTTTAGAGCCAAGAAGAAGCACTCTTATATCACAAAGCATCTATAGAGTGAAACACACTTGACAGCGTGGACCAAATTTAATTGAGGAATCATGCTTTTTACAGTGTCTACCATGTTAGAGAGCAGCCACGGCAATGCATTTGCTTTGCAGATTGTACGGATACTCTGTGGATTGGGTCAGCACCCCTGTTAACACTATGCCAGGCTCTTAGAATAGGCATACAAGTGTGAAGGTCAGTAGCTTATGGAGTCTGTGCAAGCTTTCATGTGCTCAGTCAAATACTGTGAGATGTGCAAGAGGCTGAGAGCGAAGAAAGTGCCTTTCGACCACATCAACCTTAAAGGAATAGTGAGTGCATACAGCTGGGTAATGCTGTTTTCTCTAGTGTTTTTATCACTGATTGTAATCCAGTGCCTTCAGCAGAGGCTAATGAAGGGAGCCACGCCACTAATCAGTCAGGACTAAGCAACAACAGAAAGTGTAAGTGTAAAGAGAGGTTCGAGGATATCAGTGGGTAACAGAATGCAACTTGGCTTCTCTTGGAGAATAAATACGAAGGCATGTAGGGAGGGACAAAGGTACAACATACTGTACAAATTAAGCAGGGTTGCACATCAGGTCACTAATAGAGGGTGAACAGAGTTGGAAGACATCAACTGCAATTTTTTTGTGTCAAATGAAGACTGGGAAAATTATATAATTGGCTTTTAATATTGCAATTTTGACACTTAAATAATTTGTTGTGTTTTTATGAGTTGGGATTATACATTCTGAAGCTAAAAAAAACAAACAATTTCTACATTTGAACACAACTCATTAGAGATACACTAGACCACTCTAGAGAAACATGGCTGTATCTGTATTTCTGTCTCTTACCCTGGACCTCTCCTCTAGTTTGGTCATCATGACGATGATGGCACTCCTCTGCTCCCAGATCATCCTCCAGAATTCACCAAATGTCTCTGGCAGAGATCCTTGGGTGGCAATGTAGGCATTCTGCTTCCTGTAGCCATCGATATAGTTGGCATTGATATAGTCACTTCCAGGGATACCTAAAAAGGAGACGGGGTGTGACTTGAGTTGTCAAGCTGAGTTGGAATGCAAAAATCTTGTCTAAGGCACCACTGTGTTGCAGAGAGCAGGGACATTTAGATAGTCGGAGTTCAAAAAGAGATATCTAAAAAAAATGGTTAACTTTGTCTAATGTAATAAACAATATAGTGGCATTTGTTGCTTTCTAAGTTTACTTTGATTTTCTCTAAAGTTATTTAAGATAATGTCAGATTTTCCCCCACATAAAGGGGACACCTCTTTGTCTAATCTTCTGTGTTTTCTCTAAATATTAAATTGAAAAATAGCATAAAACAGTCACATTTGGAAGCAGCATTACAGTCCATAAGGATTTGTATTTCCTATCAACACCACATTTAAATCCACAGTTTGTGTGTCCCTCTTCTATATCTGCAACTGACTTACAGATAAAGCTCGGTCTGTAAAAGTCTATCACCTCACATGGAGAAAAACAAACCAACAAAAACCTAGCAAAACAATTTTCCCCCTCCCCTCCTCACTCCTCCTTCCCTTTGCTTATATTAAATGAAAGGCACAGCAGCCTTTTCGAATCCAGGCGAAAGAGACAGAGCTGACAGCTAGTCAATGCTTTAGGACTGGCAGTTTAGGGGCTTCATGCACACATGGTCGACCAAGATAAGTCTCATCTGCATGGACGTCACGTATCAGAGAATCCCCTCACTCCAACTGCTTCCTCTCCCCCCTTCTCCCCCAGACTCCCTTTTACTCCCAGGTAACTTATTCAACAGAAAAAAGAAAAGAAAATGGAATATGAACACATTCAAAAACCAACCCAAATTATTTTTTTTCAAATGTCCCCCCGCCCCTCTCTTTTGCTGTTGAAGTTGTCCACACAGCAAGGCGGCTGTACATTTCTGTGATGGACAAGGGATAAATACAATTAAGCCCAGTGCATTTTCAAATTGAAAAGCAAAAAGAAAAAAGAGACATTACCGTGGTTTAATGAGAATGAGGCAAGTTGTTTAACACACATTTGCAAATGAATTTTGCCTTTATGCTTTCCGTCACTCAGGATTTGTGTGAATTCTAAAATTTTCTCTGTCAATCTGCTTATTGAGAAATTAACATTGCTACAGTGTTGTTCAGTACTCCTCATAGAAAAGCAAAGGAATCTCAACAGAAATATAGAACAACTTTATGGGGAAACATTGTAATGATATTAAAGATGAGGATTCTTAATAGTACCAGTATGTTCAAGTGTAGACACTGTGCTTTTATGAGCAGATGACCACACTCACATTTTCTCAGTTTCCTGCACTTTACTCCCGACAGATTTATAAAGTTGTCACATTAGATTTCGATTAGATTTTCTTATTAAATGTTCTTTGAAGAACAGGAGGCCAGTGACTCAAGTATAGCTATTTTAATTCAATAAGAACAGGCTTGTGACAGCTCCCACACTAAATATAGAACGATGGAAAAAAACAGTGAGGTCCTGCATAACTTTAACTTTCCAAAAAGAACACAGATTTGGTGCAGGGATCATGCTAACAAAAAACAATACATACTAATTGAAATTAGAAACTGTACAATTTTGGCAAATGAAGGGCAGACACAGTTTTAGGGATTAACTTTAGATACCAGTTTAATCCTGCTAAATTGTTTTGTATGGTCAGGCAACTTGGCAAGAGGTGCCTCGTCAGTCATCAGAAGTGGAGCAAAATCAGTGATATCACGACAAGTCCACAGACGTACTCGAGCTTCAGAGCGCCTGTATTCCGAGGATTCTACTCATCCATCCCAACATCAATAAATTCTGAAAGTACTGTAGCTGTCTTCAAATTCTGATGTCAAATCCCAAATCCCTTTTTATTCAAAGAACTCAATCAGAGTAAACAATAGACGCATTGCTTGCCAAAAGGCTTTGTTTAAGCTTTAGAAGGAAAAGAGGAAGTCCCTCATGTCCCCCTGGCTGAGAACTACCCGCTTGCTATAGCACAAAGGCTCCAATGTGGTTGTGCAGATGTGTTTATATGCCTGGCTAATGGAGTTCCATCAACACTCAAGCTGTGTGTTGTTTCAGAGAGACTGCAAAAAGGGCTCTCTAAGTCTTTATCTATCTGTTTTTGTAACATTAGCCATTTATTACTTTGTTTATTTTCCTTCGCCCTCCATGGGAGCAGCTGAATGGAAATGGTTAATTAATAGCTGTGCGTGTATGTGCAATTGTGTTTAATCCAATAAACTGTTAAAGGAGCCAGCACTTAACTAGCCATTTCAAAATTGCCTTTTATTCCTTAGAAGCTGTACTGCATAATGTGCCAAAGACTCTTACTGGACTGGTTCGAGTCCGGTGAATCTGGAAAAATAGATTTAAAAAAATAGCCCTGATGTCTAGAGCTCTGCAACCACATCTTGACTGAGTTCTGTCCATATCATGCTATTAGCAACACCCTGGCGACTGTATCACTCTGGCCAGTGTAACCTTAGCACTTTATCTTGTGTGTTGTTTTTGTGAGTTGTTTTGTCAGGTTCAACCAGGTAGCAAATGGGCTAACACATATTTAAATAGATTCTGGTAAAACTTACTTCTCTCACTATATGTTGTTGTTTAATCGGATTTAAATGCTTGCCTCAGCATTATATGGGTAAATATCCCTTTTCTACAGCCATCTCTTTCTTTGCAAGGGCCTGAGGCATGAAAGGAGAGTGCTTGTACAGGAATATATTAAAGTACAGTGTGGTTGCGCTCCTGAGGTCTAAACGATAGTTGCACAGGCTTTGTCTTTGTCTTTGTAATCAATACAGTAGTTGGGAGGGAAGATGTTGGTGGGCGGCATACCGTCAATAGCAGACAGCAAGACTCTGGAATGGTCGTAGGCAATCACGTTGGCATATCTGTTCTTTGGTTTGTTGACCTCCAGGTTCGAGTGCTCCCATGTGAACTGCTGACCAGGGTCGATGGACTGTGAAGTAGAAGAAAATTAGTTTTTACAGTGGAATATTTTTCACTATATGAACATGTTACAATAGTTCATTGCTAAGATTGAGTTCTACTCTATGACAATCGCCCATGAGGTGTCCATATCAGAAAGCTTACTACTGATGCCTTTCACCACAGAGCAACTGGAAATCTGATCTATTGTAGTTTAAATAAATCTCTTTAAAAGTATGCATGAAACTCAAGGGCATACTTAGCCTTGTATATCTTCAGACATTTACCCAAGCCCTTGTTTTCCCAAGCCCTTGTTTTCCCAAGACTATGAGGAAGGCAGTTTATTATAAGTAAAAACTTTGAATTTAGTCTTGTGTCTCCAATGTGTCTCTGTACATTTGGCTAAAAACACACTGTAGTTTCTGTTAATGTGAAGGATACTATTGAGTTTTAGTGCTGCTGTTAGACCTTTGTAGAAAGGTTATAAAATATTGCTTCATCTTAAGCTCTTGAGCATCCAAGAGGTTAAGACATATACACTGTATATGTATATATATGAATGCTGGAATACTAAAATAATGAGTGGGTGTCCACTTTCCACACACAAAACGAGGACACTCTTAAATTAAGTTAGGACTGTGAAATATATGTTGTGTTCTGGGTATAAAATACTTGATGTTATTGGGTCCAAACGAAATCACTGTTATCTTACTGAAAGCTGATTTAGCTGATGAATAGTCTAACCCAGACTTTAACTCTTTTCAGTTAATTTAAGTAGAATCTATTCTGGCCTCTCAATATCTTGTAGAAAATGGGGTGTCAACAGACACTGCAAACTAAGTTGACCCTTTTGGTCTGGAAATCTTAGATAAAAAGTGTTTGTTGATGGAAATTGGACTTAAAAGCGGATAGTTCACTGTTAAGAACTATGTGAACTATGTGATGTCCTTGGCATGAAATAACCGCTACATATAAATACAAAAAGATACCTTCTGAACTGGTCACAAAGGAAAAGCTTGTGTTCCATCGGCTTTCCTCATTTGATTTTCAGGACTTTATGGCACAGACTAGAATACCACACTTGAGACTAGTTCAACAGAATTTGCTATCCGAGCCCTCTTTCAGCTTTGTAAGGCGGAGATTGATAATGGTCCCTCATCAGCAATAAATGAACTATAAAATATAATATCACAAAGGGAAAATACAAAGACATGAAAGATAGCATTCCATTTCACATTACACTGAAAATATTGTGCTGCTGTTTTTAATGACGACAGGTTACTTTTATGAGTTAATCTCCACTGAAAGTTGCAGAAGTGCAACAGGACACATTGCAACACACAGCCACATTGACCTTGCTTATAATCTAGATAGATCTGAATATGGTCATACTTTTATGCCTTCTTTAGAGTGATTTATAGGAGCAATAAACACAAAAATTTGCTTTTATTCATTTTTAGATTAGTCTAATGATGGCAATCTTTATAATATTACTATGAACACAGTAAAATACATAAAGAGGTATTTAAGAGCAAATGAGCTCAATGTGAATAAAATAATACATTTCAGCACTGAGTTCTTTATCTGCAGAAGTCACCTAAAGGAGCAATATACAGGGGACAAACCACTGGCTAAGCCTGATATTTTATCAAAATATGTTGAAACAGTGGGCTGCAACATTGCTCATAATAAAAATCTTTATTTCATTGTGCTCGCAAAATTGCTTTCCACTGCTCTCGAATAAGCACTATGAAATTGGAATTCAATGTACTTAAGCTGCAATAATGATTGGGCAGCTTGGCAGCCACCCATATGGTGACCTCATAGATTTTGGAGCCATTGCAGGACCCACAGAGAGAAATGGGCAGAGAAAAGGTGACCGTTCCCATCTCACACAATGCCCCTGAAAGGGCCTCTTGCTCACAAATTTTTTTCAGGCTCTGTGAGTGTTCTGCAAACATAAATTCATCTCCAATGCAAAGAAACTATAAAGGAAACATTTACACAGTCTGGCTACAGCCCACAGGGTTTTGAGGGTGCTTAAACTTTAAGGACTTCTAGGCCTCATCACACGATACATAATTATAACACCTTTGTTTCATGATAAATTTTTAGTGCTTTAGCTAGTGGCCATACATTCCAGAGTGAGACTTAAGACAAAGTGTAGATATGACGGAAGAATGTTACTGTAACTGTAGCCTTTGAAATATTCAATCGAGTAGCACATTAGTCACTTCCATCAGTAAAGCATTAGGTTTCTCCAGGATAAACAGTACTGATTATACTTCTATATATATAGTATACTGAATGTTTAGTATGTTGTTTGCTCCATCCAACACATTTGTATTGCGAGGTGTAGTGATGCCTCAGAGTTTTAGTGCTATTATTTTAATATTTTTCTAAGATTAATTCACATGGAAAAAATGTCATCAACTGAGCAGGTAACAGGAATATACAAATACTTGATCTGCTGAAGTGATAAAATTAGACAGCACTGGCATTGTAAATCAGACTGGGTGTATTGTGCTGTCATTAGTGTTTTACCGCTCCTTACCATATGTATATCAGATATAATCAGTGATTGCACCTTTACTAAAGAAAATACGTAATTAAGATATACTTTCTCATACAGGTTTTTTGGAATGTTGTGGTTTCCGCGACGCCATTTTTACTCTGTTTAGTCATATTGGCCCTTTTTTTCACAGCAGACATGTTTGACTTGTCATAGCAGGAAAAGCACAGGTGTTACTAATACCATTAATGAAGGCCTCTTTTCCAGTCAAGTGTCTTAGTAAGTCATGTCAGTGAGCCAGCAGGCACAGTAGCAGGGTTCTGGAACTGGAAATGGAGTGCAGCCGTTATTTATGTTATTAATTGAACCTGTGCGTTTCATGCTATGAAATGTCAAAATGTCCGCCGTGAAAAAGGCATACTGACTGATTTTAGATCTCTGAGTTTGTCTGGTGAAAATATTTTTCATGAGAGTAGTTTCTGACCTCTGCCCTTGCTTGGCAGTCATCAGTGAAAGTTGACACATTGTTGACTCGCTTGAACTGCTGTGTGGTTGGCATGGGCATGCAATGATAGGATTTAGGCTTCCAGGAAAACATTGAATGCAAGACTGTGGGTTTTGCCCACCACACTAACTAGTGACAGTAATTTGAAATCAGTTTATCTGAGCACCTGGTGCATGCTCCTGTATACTGCTAGACAATATGTTGCATTGTTGTATTTATGCCACAACACTCTTGCTATGACATTTATTGCTATGACATTTATCACAATTCACAATATTGGGACACTTACTTCATATTCTTGTGAAAACTTGAGGTTGTCGTTGGCTTTCAGGCGCTCAAGATGATCTGCCAGGTCCATAATTGGGATTGGAGGGTGGCTAGCCATACCTGTCAATCAAACAGACTGAAGGTCAGTCACCGATCTTGTAAGAGGGCATCACCCAAGCACAAGCCAACAGTGAATCATTAGATAAGCAGCATGTGTGTTTAACAGGGGGAATGGAAGAGTGGATCTTGTTAGGCTAGTTTGTTCACTCAAAGCAGCGGCCATGCTCATAGAGAGAATATGGACACAGAAGCCAATGAGAAGTCATCGAGCACACTTGCCCCACTGGGACTCTCCCTATTGAGAGAGAAGAACGTTATTTAAACAGAAAGCTGCCGTGGAGTAGTTAGCATGAGAGTAAGACACAGACGCAAACAAACATCCCATTAAACAAACAACCCAAAAAAAAAAAAAGAAACATTCAAAATGTTAAGCCAGATTGACATGTGCTTTGAGTGATGACATGTTTTCAGGCTGTCATTTCAAACTCCGCCTCCTGCGATGACATAGCATTAACACCAGATGGATTAGATGGGGATGAGAGTACAAGACTAGGCAGAAAAAAGGAAAAGAAGGGAATTAAAGCTAAAAAAAAAAAAAATAATAATGTCAAATGCATAATCGAGACCAACTAACTTGACAAATGGAGGTTACTGGGGTGACTGGACGCACCTGAACCTGTGGAGGAAACGGCGGTGTAATTAAATACATTGCAGATGTTATAGCAATGTGATGACTATTTTCTTCACAAATGTGACAAGAAGTAGTTGAATGATTATGTGTAGTCTAAATGGGACATTCATTAGTAACATACAAATCATCATGCTAGAAGCTTGGCTATGCCACCATGCTTATGTCACAGAAATAAGAAAGTGCACAGGGAATAAACATCCTAGCAGCACAAACCAAAGTCGGGCAACCGCAGTATATTTGACATTCATTTTAACCTGAGGATGCTGACATGGTGATATACTACTTGCATAGTCTGCAGCATAAAGTTTCAGCCTGCAGTTAAGTTCACTTGACTTTGACAATGTAGAGTTGACATTGTTGAATATGGGTGGTAGTCGAGGTATATGTGTCATCAGTATATTTAAGAGCTTCGATGTAGGTTAGGGTTCTAACAATAATGTTCACTAAGGCACCTTTTTGTTCATTCTGTTGCAATCCAGCCTGTGGCCAAAGATCTGCAACTTAAAGAGTTCAGGCACCATTTTGACACATCAGTTGGGTCTCTCTTTCTCTCTCCCTCCAACATTGAGGTGATGTTTCATTTTGGTCACTGGCACAAGTGGGCATTAGCTAATGGAAGCTATGCCTCGTTTTCCCACCCACTCTCGCAGCTCTCTGAAAGACGGCAAAGGGTGTTTCTATTGCTGCCCCTCTACTCAAAATCCATTTCCACCACTGGGGGACAATGAAAGTACCATTTCCAACACGCCGTCGCTCAAACATCAAGCATCCTTAAGATGAAAATGTCCATTGAGGGGTAAAGAGGTGAAAGAAAGGGTGGAGAGAGTAGGGGAAGAGAGGTGGTCTAATGTAGAGGCGCTTCAGGACTTGAGAGAAGTGGTCACGTGGTAGAAAAAAAATTTTTGGTCCTTTTTGAGCAGTGAGAGAGCCAAGATACCAGCTCTTAGAAAGGCTGTTGGGGAGGGGGGGTTGAAAATGAAGGCTTGAGAGGCGAACGAAATAGTGGGAGGATGGTTGAGATCACTCTGAGCCAAAAGGAAAAATACCCTTCTGCCAGGATGAAACAGCCAGTAATGGTCCTAACATCATTGAAGAGCTTTCATAAATATGCATAATCTTTTTTCAGAAATGAGCCTGCAGGGATAATTCATCCTCCTTTCATACTAGCTGACCTGAAAAATATGGCTTTGATATTACAACATTATTGGCAGTCTCTGAACACCTGTCCCAAAGCAGTTGGTGCCAGAGGAACTCAAACGGCAGTTAAGTGTGTCTCTCTCGGTCAGGACGGGGGCAAAGATGCATACCTCCTTTTCCAGGTGATAAATGGACTGTGATTCCCATTGTTTCCCCCAGGCGAGAAACCGCCACATGACTGAGCCAAGGCATGACCACTGACCACCACTCACCTCAGCACTAAAGGTCAGAGGGAGTAAACACTCGCGTTTACAACTTGTCACCACTTTTTTTCTGTCGCTTTTGCGTTGGCTTGCATACAAAATGGTACACCAGAGCCATGGCACATTTTGCATTTTCTCTCACCTTCCACAATTCAGCATCCTGTGACTTCTAGCAGCAGGATACCATCCAAGCAGGACTGCACTATTCTGAGTAAGCGTGACTCGTCTTGATGACCTGGATAACGCAGGTGCAGAGGAAGATGACAGCTGCCACAAAACTGTCAAGCTTGCATTTCTGCCTCTTCACTTTCCACTGAGATGTGTCTCCGGGGAGGAAACTGTCAGTTTTGACCCGCTGTGCCTTCTCTAAGCACCTGTCCATTGTCTTCTTGCAAACTGCTCACTTGTTTAATGCCAATCTCGCCGCAAAGATAATTAACTTTTTAGGACGTTACAGTATGAGGCTTCAGTGCCTGTGGTAGTTGCAAATTAACAAATAATGGATGATTTTAACGCTAATTGTGAATATACATCATTCCTTTAAGCAAGCAGTCAGTAGCAGTGGCATCCCTTTTCACCATATTCAGTTGTAAATTCACAGTTAAGGAGATGTACGTCTCTGGCTTCCTTTGGAATACATACCAGGCGTTTGAAAGTTGAGACGTCGAAGCTCCACGGGGTCAGTGGGATGATGCAGCGGCATTTCCTTGCTGTTAGGGAGACTGCCTTTCCTAGCTTCAGATTCTGCTCTTTTTCTGCAGAACAAACAGCACAATTTAATTATTTTTGATGAATCTTTCTTTTGGTGCTCAAAACTCTGTACAACTGCATAACCTCAAAGCTTGCCTTGTGGTCTAATAAATACTGCAGGCAAATATGTAATTAAAGAGGTGACAGCACTACATTCTTACAGTACATAGGACTACAGGGGGTGGACTAAATAATATCAACACTTCACAGTATAATGCAATCCAATACAATAGCCCTTTAAATACTACCTTTACCAAAGCTATGTTCACTTTTCAATGATAGTGTCAGATGGGGTGTCAATTCAACTGTACAGTCATTTTGAAGCCACAGTTAAGGGTATTATTTGGATTGCATTATCATGGTGCTGGTACTGTATTTAAAAAAACAACAATATATATACATACACAAAGGTATAATTTAATACAGGACTATTGTTCTGAGTTGCAGAATGTTGTAGAGTATTCTTATTTGTACTGCTCTTTGTTACTTTATTTTCCAGTATTCTGAATGCAGATTCCTATATCTGTCTGTGACGTTCTCTTTTTCACATATTTTTAGTGAACAACATTGTCACCTCTGACAAAAGATGCCGTATGAATCGAGTGTTAATTTCATAGACGGCAGTTCGATTTGACTGCAACATTGGTCACTGACATGGATCCCATGTTTTGGAGGAGGTCAACAGTAATTACAAAGTATAATGGAAATATGGTGGAGATTTTGACATTGTGAATTTTAAGTTTATTAGAAATAGAAAAAGATTTGTGCATCGATAAAGGTAAGTAACGTGTTTAACATTTGATTAAGCACATAGCATGATTTCACAAATGACATCAACTCTAGGCGACCAATTTTGATATGTTTGGATATAATATGTACAGTGCAGGGAGAGGGAAAGGTTTAAAGGGAGTTAGTTTTTCTCTGCTTCCTTCTCACTCTTACCTGTCTGGTTTGCTGCTCCATTGGTCAGCAAGAAAAGAAATATCGACACAACATTAGGTGGTAAGACCTTTGGCTTTATATAATGGAGAATTCCAGTAACTTTCCTGTAGAATAAGCGAATGACTGAGTGCATAGGAGACAAACGATACCAATCATATCTCAATTTTGCTTTACGTGCAAGATTAGTGATGCTTCACTTCAGAGATTATGCTCAATTATACCGCCTTGGGGCTCTTTGTTTCAAATACTACAGTTTCCCAGGTGCATCCAAGATTTGTACATTGTATCTCTGCTATTTCGAGCAGTTTCAGCTGATTGCTTCTTGTTCAAGCATAAAAGTCATCTCTTGAATCCTAATTGCTGTGGCTGTCTTTTTCCGCAAATAAGCCTACCACTGTTGCATTTATTAAAATCAAGAACTATGCATATTCAAAATCTATGCATGTGGTATAAATGCGAACAATATGAGGGATCATACTTTTATGATGCTTATACTGCATCCAAATGTATTTTGCCATTTTTTAAAACCTGTTTATTAGAAAAATTACCACAATGTATTGGTTGGGTAGCAGATTGAGCTGCACATTGTTATCTCCATGTCCTTTCCCAGAGCCCAACATAACATGGTTGTTGCCCTTTTGCACAAGAGGAGCACTCTGTCACATAAAAATTGATCTCGACAAGAGAAATATCTCCTAGTTATGCACCGAATGTTCCCTAACGTGGCGGTGACACTGGCTTGGTAATTGATGTGTAAAACTTCCTGCCACAATTGGAAACTCTGAAACCCTCCGCACAAACGCTCTCTGTTCACTTACAATTCACCTTTGTACTATCCACCCAAAACTTGATATGAATGGAATCCAAGGACAATAAGGTGTAAAAGAGAGCCAGAATAAAGCTGTAAGCATAAACCTCTTACATTACACTGCCATTGATGTATCTTTTGTCTTCAGTATTGGTACTGTTACTGATTATAGCTTGTGCTGACTCTTCACTTACTAATCTTACCGTCCAAAAATTACTTCTTGAGGACTACTGTGAATTCTGCTTAGGACTGGACATTTGATTGAATGAACTCTGCAGAAAATAATGTAAAAGGTGACGAGAGACACGATGGTGAAGGAAGGAAAAAGCCTGCGTGGACGCATACATAAAAGATATGTGCATGTGTGTGACAGGGCGGCATAAGGTCAGAGTCTGGACCTAGAGCTACTCTCTCTTGCGGAATGGGTAGTAGTAATAGGGGAGGGGTTGCGGTAGCTGGGATGCTTGCCCAGGCCCCAGGGCCTTTCTAAAGCTGCACACACACATGCAGTGACATGAAGCAGATAGTCACAGCTCTCCCCTCCTACGCTTGACTGATGAGCAGTGACACCACGAGGTCTCGCTACCACTAGGGGGTTTCAGACAAAAAGGCTGTTTTGATTCAGTGTGAAAGTGCACTACCGCAAGTGTTTCCTACAGTTTTACATGTGTTTGCGAGTGCTTGTTTGTGCGTGCAGGGGGGGTAGATGGATGTGTCTGATTAACTTTCAGTCAACGCACGTGTCTGTGTGAAGGATTGTGGGCGTCTGCATTTGATGGCAGCTTTGGTAGCGGTATGCTTGGATTTACTCATTTGAGATTTAGAGTGTGCTTGTGATACTCAGAGTGAGGGTCGCGGATACGCCTCAGGCTTTTAGTTAAAATCTTACATTTAGTGTTAGCATTCAAATGTGCTAATTGTACATTTATATGGTGTAGTGTGTTGGTGTCATGGATGTTAAATATTCAATTGTCATACATAAATGTTGAATGGCTATACATGAATTTTAAAGGCACATCAATATGTAATGATGTTCCAATAGAACATGTTTTGCATCATCCCCTTGCAGTGAATGTGTGCCAATGTATGCACAGTATTCATATTAAGTTTTAAGGTAATTCTTGTGCATTTACTTCACTTGGTGGGAAAAATATTTATTCATTATTTTTATAATTGTTTACGCAGATTATTATTGAATATCCTCACCTCTTGTAGAGGAGGATGGCAATGACGATACATATGATGAAGACAACTGCTAGCACAGGGCCAACCACCCAGATGAGGCCTTCCTCCTCATCGATGATCGGCTGTGGGTCGATGTCGGCTGACACAACCGGGTCGGAGTAGGGGCTCGTGGCGTACATGATCTGAGCCAGGGAAAAACAAATCACTGATCAATATTTGATCCCAGAATCTGTGTTACATGTTAGACCTCATCCTGCTCATTATTCCATCATTTTATCTAGTATCTGGTGATTTTTAAGCTGTTTTCATGTCAGTGTGTCACAATGTTCCTTTGACACCGATGGAGCTGTTTTTCACCTTAAGTTACATCAACATCCAGAACTGAACGCTGAAGGACACATTGGAACCAGACTTATTTAAGGAGCTCAAGATATTCAAAGCACTACTGGAAGACTTCAATTAATTTATCCCCACTACCGTACATATCTAACAAGACTCTAACAAAGACCGCATGACCAACAATAGAAATTAAAAGCCAATTCAAAGTTTTGCTGTGTAATTTCTGCTAAGCTGCAGTTTGGCCAATCAAAATGATCTTCAATATCTTTCCTATACAGGAGCCTTGATTGAACTATTTCACATTCTAAGAGAAGATAAAAAAATGGTCTTCTGGGAAGAAAATATATGCTTCAGTGGGCAAATTGGAGATTTCCCTCCGTCCGTCATTATCGTTTTTGCTCTACCTGAACTCGGGGTTAGCTGAGAGAGTGCGAGGAAGGACTATAGACCCTGCAGCTCATCAAATCCATCATCACTCCTGCAGCTGCCTAATCATACAGCTTTCTGGTCTTCCATCCAGACAGACACGTGCACACATACACACTAGCTGCAGCAGCGGAGATAAGGTGGACTGCACGTACGACGCAATTAAAGAGGAGCCCTGTTATCGAGGTATTCTTGCGATCAGCTAAGGTCTTAAGGGGTTTCTCTCCCTAAAGCAGCGAGGGTCAGCTTCTTGGGCCAGCTGCAGCTTTAAGTTTTTAAGTCAAAGCCTCACAAGGGCTCAGAGTAACACATCTAACCATAAGCAAACTCCGACCCTCCACCACGATGCAGTGGATTTAACCCGCTCTGTTTATTAACATGTACAGCTTTTAGCACAAAGGACCTGAGATCGCTGCCACAGGATAACCCCAGAGGCAAGCAAGCTCATGTCTTGAGCTGAACTGAAGTATATTATGAGACAAATAGATAAAACTGAGATAATACATGTATGAGAGTTCCGACTTACGTTTTCAGACATCTCCAGAACAGCAAGCACAAAGAAGATGTACTCCTGGCCATTCTGGAGTTGCTTGTTTTCAAAGTCCCCGTAGATCTTGCCATCTCCCAGGGTGAACTCTTTGGGCAGGTCTTTGAAGTACGCAGCGATATAGGCTTTGGGTTCTGCCTGCCTCCGGAAACGGAGGCCTCTGCTTGTTCGGTTTATCTCTTTCAGCAGCTACAGTGAGGAGTAAGAAGCAGACAGTTGATAACACACAGGGACACGCTCCAGCACACACATGAAAACGCATCTGCACAAACTAAATCAGTTTATCTTGGATTTTTTTTTCTCCCTTCTGATTGCTGAAAAAATGCTGATTGCAAGAGGCAGAACATAACAGAAAAGATCAATGACTTATTTCATATTTGTTTTTTTACTACAAAAGATTGTGAAATTAAAAGATTGTGTGGATTTCTAGCATATAAAACAGTTGAGGATTATCCAACAGCATCAAACAGTAAAAACAAAAAACTGACTGAATTAATTCACAATTTACAGAGCTCAATCATTTTTTTCTTCATACAATCAGAAACTGTTTTTTAGCTCGAGATGACTAGATGTAGACAAATAGAATCTAAGGAGATTTTTTTCGCTAGATTTGATTAACATGTACAACCAATTAAATGTTTCTTAAATATGAATGAAAGATATGCAAAGTGAGGATAAATAACATTATGTATCAACAAATGGTTCAAATGATATCTTTAAAATGATACAACAGTATGTAATTGGCAGGGATTTCTCCCAAAAAAGACACTTAAATGTTTTTCCAATGCCACTGCCAATTTTTAACGGGAACTATCACTTATCAAACCACAGACATTTTTTTATCCAAAAGTCTCCTCGATAATTAATGTGAGAGCCAAAAATCCCACCTTTGCTTCTCCAACCAACAATAATAATACCAACAGGCAGAAAGAAACAGACAAAGCGTGCCCTTCATACAAGTCCGTACCATCTGATTTTAAACTTCCAGTACAAAGCGTGGATCATAATTATGCTAATCAAGCCTGGCTAGTTGTTTGGGCGTCTGATTTCATATCTCTCACTTGTGTGCATGACTGTGTGTGTGCGCGCCTGTCATTCACATTAGAGTGCGTCCGTTCTTGTGTGTGCTCTGTTTTGGCTGCGGGGCTGTTGGTGCTGCCCGATAATGTCTTCAATCATCTCTCCTGTCAACACGGCTAAATCTAGCTGCCCTTGGGAAAAGTTGTGAAAAGGTGAGTGCCAATATTGACAAACAAATAAATTCTGACAGAGGGGCGACTTTTGGGCAATCGGTCAAGGCTACAGACATGGGCCTGTGGGCATGAGCTGTGAAGCCAATGCCAGATGAGACATGGTGTGTTTTCTTTTAGCCTCTAAGACATGTGATATATTGTAATGTTTATACAATAGAAATATTTTAAAACTCACAATTTCAAAATAAGCTATAATTCTCCAAAAGGACTAACAGTATATGCGGCACTGATTTGCTTTCAATATTTGACACTGCATCAGGAATACCTGAAATGTAATCACAGCTTACAAATACACAGTGATAAAACTTTCACTTCCTTATACATTTAATCATGCCTGCAATGCACAGAAACTCCTGGATTATCTCAACTGGCTAAATATAAAAGTTGTCAAGTGTTTTGTGCATACACAGTAGCCTAGCTTTGCCTGGAATGAGAAGAGACAGGCCTGATGCAGCTCTTCAGGTAATTACCACAGACACAAAGAGGAGGAGGAGGAGGTGGGGATGGGGGTTGAGTTTGCAGTGCTCTTGATGGCTACTTCATGTTCTGATTTCCATATGAACAGTGCTCTCTGCAGCTATTTGCGTCAATCAGTGAGACTCATCTCCTGTTCCTCCTGCCCTCTTAACTGCCTCAACTTATTTTTCCAGTTTCAAGAAAAGAAATGTGTGCTATGTGCACATAGTTACGTATGCCCTGTTAAGAAGAAAAGTACAATAACTGGATAATGCAAAAATAACTGAAATTTGACATATTTTTCTTTTCTTTCCTGAGTTCTTATAAGAACTTCAACCTTTTGAACATACCTCCTCCAAATTCATCTCATCGGGATTGTCCCAAGGTTTGAAAAACTTGCCAGTGCGCTGCTTCTTCAAAGGTACTACCACGATGTAATATCCCCTGGAAAATAACATGTAAAGTACAATATATTAATATTCTAGAGAAACATCCCTGCAACTTTTCAAAAGAAACAAGTTCAGCAGTTGTTTTGCAAGACAATGGTTTTGACAGCAAGAACAAATACAGCCTTGTCCAGTGACCATCATGTCAACATGTACTGAGAGGGTGGTCTGCTTATTGGGAACTGATGCATAATCATGCAATTAGCAAGTTATGCAATTCTTCATAACTTGTTTAGGACCATTTCCTCTATTTTATATTTAATTTAAGCATGTTCAGAGAAGTCAGACAATACAGCTACACCTCACTGAGGCCCCCCGAGGGCTAATTAGGAGACCTCTGTGAACACAGAGAAGATACAGAATTAGAAGGATTTTCATCCCTTCATCAGGGTGGCAGGAGAGATAAAGGCCTCTGCCAGAGTTTTCTGGGCTTCCTGGTTGGGCACTGCACTAGCTAGCGTTAGCCAGCAAGGCAGTGTGGCAGGCTAATGGGAACCTAATTAGCTTAAGCTCTGGCATGGGAGAAAGTGGACCAAGTGTATCCAGCAAGATCAAAAAACCCAAGATGGGTTTGAATCGTCAGTCTACAATCGGATGTGCTCCTTGGCCTTCTGACAACCCTGGGCTTTGTTGAAAGGCTATAAGAGATTTTACAGGGCTTAGAAGAGTGCACTTAAATGAGCCGGGCTGCTTCAGTGTGTAATGACTAAGGTGAAGTGGATATTACACTGAAATCTAGGGATGAATATAAATGACTCTGTTTTGGAAGAATTATCCCTGACAAGGTCAGCTATCAAGTTAACTTGTTTATCTCCATTCACAATGCATCAGTAAGAAATAATCATCCTTAATATGGACATTAGCGATGGACAGTTCCACTGCACCATATTGATGTCTTTACAAGTCACACATTGTCATTTTTATAAAGTCAAATCATTATGCTTGATGTAAGTTGGCAGTACCCATATCTGATATTTAAAGTTAACTCAGAGGCGGCAATGGGTGGATGCATTAACTCTGGGGTAATTTTGACGAGATTTGGTATGTTAAAGTTTCCAGCCCTCCATGCTGTTATTCTGCATTACTCTGTGTACAATGACGTGGCAAAAAAAGTGCATTGATTTGGCGACTTGGTGGCTTCTCGACTACTGATTTGAATCATCAACATTTCAGTGGCAGCCCTGCAATTAGAATTCACCTTTAGTTCGATCATCTCTACTCACCTTACTCTTTCAGATGTCTGCACTGATGGTAACTCCACAGTCACCATACCGTCTGAGTTGGTCTTGCCAATCAGGTAGGGTTTGGTGCGGAGGACGTCTGGGGCTGTCATGGTGGACACACGATGCTGCAGACCTCCAGCACTGTTGCCACGATTGGTCAGGAGGAAGGAGTATTGTGTCTCAGGTTGAAGACCCGTGATTAGCTTCTGTGTTAGCTTCCCATCCACCTCCACACTCTGCCCATTATCGTAGAGGATCTGTATGCGAATGAGTTTGTTTCATTTAGACATTTTTGTGGATTGTTTACTGAATACTTTTTGGGTCAGAGTAATGTGTATAGTACATCAATGCATATGGCGATGTTATATTTTTCTAGGCAGTGCTCACAGTGAAAGGTTGAGCTGGGTTGTAGGTGTCAGGGATTTCCCAGGTCAGCAACACCGATGTCTTCATGGCAGCTTTCACGTGGAAATTTTTTGCAAACACTGCTAAAAGAAAGGGGGAGCAGGTGATTTAGACACAAAACATCCTCTCATAACTATCTGTGCCAATGGTCCCACACCAGTGCTTACCTGAGTGTCTCCTTCAAAACCAGGCTGAAATTAGTACTACACTGAACTCAACACTGTCTTCTTACCTTCTTACCAACACCAACTCTTAAATTAATGACTGACCTTTGCTTGATTGACAAGACACAAAGAGACATACATACTTACTCCATGTGAGTTTCTTAAATTATTCTTAGATTAGGGAGACTAAGGGTTAGGACAATATGTTAATACCAAAGTCATCTGGTTGATTCCATACTTTGACAAGTTCTGCCATTTGAGGCTTTCAGAGGAAGCTGCTGTGCTTTGAAAGGGCTGCGCAGGGAAAGGTTGATTTAAAAGGGGAAGAGCTAAAAAGGTTCAGGGACTGGTCCTACCTTGATCCAAAGGCTGTGTCCTGAATTGGACACTTGGGCTATAGGGACCAGAGCCCTTGCTGGTGAAGGCACACATTTTAATATCATAAGTGGTATCTGCCTTAAGGCCATCCAGGATGACTGTTGATTCTGGTGCGGTGATGAAGAGTTCTGAGGGACTGCGTGGGCTGTTGATGTCCTTATACTGCAGAGCATATTTCACTATTTGGCCATTTCGCTCTGCCAGCAAAACAGGTTGCCAGCTAACCTGAATGGTAGAGGTGGTGGCACCTTCTGCTGTAATGCTCTGAGGGTAGCCACTTGGTACATCTTCATTTGTGGTGACTTCTTTGACTGTCTCTTCGCCAAAGCCAACCTTGTTGCGCGCTGAAAGGCGGAAAGTGTATGAGGCTCCCTTATGGATCTCTTTGGTAGTGTAGTGATTCTCTCGCTCAGGGAACTCAATGACAGTCAGAGGATCCACGTCTTTGCGGCCAAAACGGAGGCGATAGCCTTGCAGGGGACCATGGGTTAATGCTGGGGGATGCCACTGGAGGAGAGCTGTGCCCATGTTGGTTGTACTGACCATAAGCCGAGGTTTATCAGGAACTAAGACAGTACCAATGGAGAAAATGACAACGTGTTACAAATATGCTTACTTTTTTTTATACTGACAAGCATTCAGTATTAGTCGCTTTACTATCTGTCTGTCTGTGTACTTTTACTGTAGCATAACACTTTGAAAAGAAAAGAGCGCAAGAGCTGAACTTGGGTCTCATTTTTTTCTTGTCTTTCTTTTACTCTCTCTACATTTTCCATGATTTTGAAAGTGCTTTTAGCATTTCTGCGTCACACCAGTGGATAAGAGTTATTGCACTAAATGAAACCGCAATTAGCTGCATTCACACTTGATGACAAGAAAGTTTGCCTGATGTGTTTTTCCTCATTGGCTGCAGTTTCACAGCTTTACAAAACAGGCATTCAGTTTAAATTAAAATCTAGTATATTATCAAAAAGAACCACAGGAGAATAGTTAGCGGTAGGGTTTACATTACCTGCGCCAGTGGTGGTGATCAGTTTGGGCTTGCTGCGGGCACCATCGCCCTTTGCCGTATAGGCTGCCACAGTAACTGAATATGTGGTCTCAGCCTGCAGCTCTGTGATGATCATTTCCTGTAAAGATGCAGGACTTTAGTTACAGGACACTCACTGGCTGATTTGCAGATATAAGCATAGATAAAAGTGAGATGTGATATTCAGCATAATCATCACGGAGGAAACAACAGACACATTCTCTCAGCATATACTTAAAATTGAGGCATGCTTCAGTGGAAAAAGATAGTGTTGATAAGCTTTGGTAAATAAATAGACTTGGCAGCACTTGCACTTTCTTTGGTATGCAACAAAATAGCTTCCTCAGTAAACACTAATAGAATTCAAACCTTTAAGGTATTTGCTATTTGGTCAGTTGAATTTCATTTGAGCTGTGAACAAAATGTTAGTAAAAGATTCCATTTGCAGTTTTTAAGGTCAGTATCTTAAGAAGTTGAAATAGCACTTCAGCTAATATTTGAAACCAGGTTTTGAATAGCTAATGCACAAAAGACACATGCTATTCATGCAGAGGATAACAGCAAGGGAAAACAAGATTAGAATTTTATCAAGTTTAACTACTCACATGTTCAGTTGAATCATCATATCCCCACTGATTATGATATAAAATATGGAGAGAAAAGAGACAACAAATAAGGCCAGGTACAGACACTAATAACTGGTGAGAAAATATACGCCCACAGTTTGTCTGCAAACACTAAATAAATTTGTTTGTTGATAAAAGTAACTCCAGTAAAATTAGCAATAATCATGTATAGACTTGCTGAGATATGTGCCCAACTTCTGCATCCAGTAAAATTGTAATCAGTGACAAAATAGTTAACTAGTCAGTAGTTAAATCACTGATATGATATGTTTTTCCCATTCCAAATAAAATACTTTGCTGTAGTGCATGTAAAGGTGAGAGAGGGAAAGCAATACTATGTGTCTGAGAGATGAGGTGGCTGGCTGAGGAGGTTGTTGTACCTGGGCATCATCAATCAGGATGTCCTTGATGGCTGGCTGTCCTGTGGGCTCCCCATTAACCATCCTGACATAGTGCACCTGGTACCCTCGGATCTGACCGTGCTGCTTGGTGGGCATCGGTGAACGCCAGATCACTTTAATTGATGAGGAGTTGACAGCTTCCACCTCAACTTTACGAGGTGGCCCGCTAGGAACTGGAGGAACATCATGGGATAGAAGAAAAAAGGTCAAAATTATAGTGAACCCCCTTCACTCTATTTTTAAGTCTTGCCCAAAAGCGTTGCGGAAAATGCTGCAGTGACAAAAAAAATCACAAAAGTGCAGCAAACTGCAGCAAACTGCAACAAGCACTGCATGACATCAATATTTCAACAATGGTAAGGGGAAAAAACAACAGCAAAAACAGGTCTGACAACTGACCTAATCTTGAAACATTAAAAATGGGTAGAGTGGATTTTTAAAACATGGAATAAAAATGTGTTTTGCCAAAATAGAAAAGTGGAGCCAAAGGGGGGCTTCAAGTGTTTCAAAGGCTTGAAGCACTACAAGAATTTTGGCTATGGAGCAAGGAAAAAATGAATAAAAAATGATTCTATCACATGAGGGGGAAAAAAATATTAAAAAATGGCCTTCAAAAAATTCTTCCACCTTTTGTTATTCCCACTGTCCAGAACTTGTCCTTTTGCCAAGTTCCTAAAAAAAGTGAGCTATATAAAAATGCTGCCACTCAAAACAATGCAGTGAATATTTAAAAGTTTCAAAAATGACAGTTGGGACTGGAAGTTGGAGGCCTGCAGCTGAAAATGCCATACCATGTGTTGAAATTGAGCAGCGTAGAGAAAAAAGCCAAAAAAAAGGTGCTTTCGCAAAGTGAGTCACAATTTGTTTAGGGAAAAGAGTGCATAGTCCAAAATGGGGCTAAAAGTGTCAAGTGGTGACAGTCGTATTAGAAGCAGGCAGAGGGGGTAGAGAAGAAGAGGGTATTGTAGATATAGTTGTTAGTATTTGACTGGGAAGGTTAAGGATTTGCAGCAGGAGCTTTGTTTTATCGAACATACCATCCTCCTCTGTGCGGATGAGCTGTGGCAGGCTTTCCGGTCCTGCCCCGACATCTGTATGAGCAGTGACCGTCACATGGTACTCTGTCCATTTTTCCAAGTTTTCCAAAAGGTACTGGGAGCTTTCCGGGGGTATGCTGGAGATTTGATGAGCAGTAGTGTCCTCCCCTTCAGTTGCAGCATATTGGATGCTGTATTGCGTTATGATCCCATTTTGTAATTCCACTGGGGGTGGCCGCCAACTTACCAGGATGTTGGTGGAGCTGGAGCTATAGCACCTTACTTCCTGAGGTGGGCCTGAGGGATCTGGTTGGTGGGTTGGGTTTTTGTGCAGGGTTTTTGTGTTTGGTCAGGCCGTTCATTCAGTTGGGTTTTTGTTTTAAAGGAGTTTCAGTTTTTGTTTTGATCGGGGTGATGATGGTAGAATTGACCAAACAAAGGAAAAAGAGGAAAATAAAATGACACAAAATGAGGAAAAATCACAAGGACTTATGTGGGTAAATGAAAAGTATTTTAAATCAATGAAACGTCACAAATAAAGACAAAGCAAAAGGCAAAGACCAAAACAAAAGTGTATACATTGATGATGAATGGAAGGCGTTGATTGGAAAAAAGACAGCTTCAACATATGTAACCTACCTTTGTCGTGAAAAAAATGATTATAAAAACAAAAGGGAACAAAAATCATACGTATGTCCTAATATACCAGTTCTGAGAACCTTTAATTCTACAATGAAAACCTAAAATTATTTGAAACTACTTTAGAAATAATTTAAGATAAACCATTCCAAAATAAATGTAGTAATAACTAAGACAAATTTGGCAAGCAGTTACCATCAATCCAAAAACATAAAGGTTGATGCTTTAACTAGTTTAAAAAAGAAAAATGTTGTATTTTTCACCAACCTTTCCGAAGCCTGTTGGTTTGTGGTAAAAGCCTGATTGTACAACAGAGAACTTCCCAAGGAGACATGACTGATTTATTAGATTCTGATAACATTGGCATGCACTTTTTAATTAACTTCATTTACCTCGGAACATACATCTAGGCAGAGTTTGAACTTCTGAGCTTTTATACCCACCTTATCTCTGCCCTTGTCTTTCAGAGACCTCAGAATTATGTGAGATTTGCAAAGTCAAATAAAACAGTTCATTGTTCTGTTGTGTCACTAATGGGTCGAGGGGAATTCTCAAGCGAGTTGAATTGCACTAGATTTTGTTTAATTTCGTAATAAAAAAAAATCTAATTTTTCAATTTCTACCTGTTTCATAAATCTGAGGTCTTTTGAGTGGAAATAACCCTAAGTACAGAGACAATACTTGTTTTGAGCTTTCTATGATATCGTTACTCCACAACTTCATTAATTCTAATTTGAATTGAATATACACGTCAATGCCAAAAATGGGAAAATCCCTTTGTCGTCCAGAGAAATGGTTCTTGGCAGCGTAGCTACATAGAAAGCTCAGTCTCAAAAAATCTCTATTCTCTTATTTTTGGCCAACATGCAATGTCAAGAGACAAGGCTTCCTAAAATGCCCTTTCATTTATAAAAAAACATTGGGTAACGCGTATGTGGGCATTCACATAAATAATTCATGGGTTTATCATTCATTTAAGTCAAGACTGTTTTTGCACAACAAAGGTTGAGAGGGGTAGTTTTTGTAACCTTGTCTCCTGACTTCACAGGAAAGCCTGGGTACCCTGTCCATGCAACCTTTTCAAAGTGAATACTGCATGGTCAGGTAGACTTCATAACACTTATTTACTATTTCAAATGTTTACATCTTTTCAAATGCATGAACCCTCAAAAGAAAAATTGTATTCGCTTTATCTGTGCTCAGGACCTTCCTGACATTTTTGGATTTTGCAACGCATGTAAATTTTGGAATGCATTTGAAAATGTGTTCCTTCCCAAATAATTTGAAAAGATAAGGAAGAAGACCTACGTGTCTGTGGAGTTTCTGCAGATATCTCATTGGTGTAAGCTCCAACTCCATGTTTACTACGGGCAGCCAGCCGGAAAGTATAAGTAGTGAAGGGCTTCAAGTCCTTCAGCAGGTATGTTGTTGTCGGCTCAAAGCTGATACGTTTCTGTGAGGAAAGTTTCATATTGTCAGTTTTTAAGTAGAGAGGGAGTTCCAAATACAAAATTAATATAAGCATGCTTCCCTTTCTGATATGGAAATAACATTTTAGGGTATCATCTTTTGCTGTCAGAATTGAAAGAAGTTAGTCTTTCATATAAATGATGTGACATTTAGTTTAGTACACTTTAAAGTGATTGACAAACTGCATTGTAAACCCCATTCTTCTCAGGCTCTTTGTTTACAATGACAGATGTGTCATAGGATATGAACTACTACTACTGATTCTACAAACAGCAATTATGCAGTCATATGACTGTATTTTTTAGTATTACTATGTGTTGTCGTGTAACTTTACAAAATTATTATTTGGCTGTGCATACCGACTTAACATAAATATTGTTGATCTACATTAAAACACTGGACCTGTAAATGTCTTGTAATTGTGTTATATAAGGAAATATACTAATTTCTTTTTACAGTATTTTACTTTATTTGTATGTGCAGTATCATGTAGATACATGAGAATTACATTAAATTAGATTAATTTAATCCTACAGGTTTGCTATTATATACGACTTATTCATTGGTGGTAGTAGCTATTGGTATTAATATTGTGGGGAAGCGCAAACAAATGTCTAACTTCATAACACCACATTATTAAACAATTGCATAACAAAATCAAACTAGTACTTAATAATAGGTTACAGTGTGATTTAGAGTATTTAATTTCTTATACAGTAATCTGATGGGTTGCCAAAATAGCTGAAGTCAGGAAATAATTACCTCCTCTTTGTCATCCCGCTTCTTGTACATAAGTTCATATCCTGTGATCTGATTTTCCTGTCCGGTCTGTGCTGGGGCGATCCATGAAAGTAAAATACTTGTTTCAGATTTGGCTTCTCCTTTGAAGTCAGTCGGTTGGGAGGGAACTGCAATTGGAACAAAGAGATGAATTCATTACTCTCTCACGTTTCGCACTATTCGTTGTTTTGCACTATATCATTAAAGTCCTACTCGTACAGATGCCACAGAGCTATATTGTACATTGTACTACAACTGAGACACAGTTGAATCCAGACAGTGCAGACACATACTGCATGGTTACTTCGTGCTAACAATAATACTTATAATATGATAAATAACAAGACATTTGAATTACTTGTTCGTAGTTAACTTTTCTCATCCAAAACAATTTTTTCCCACTTGGGAAAACCAATTGAGTTTTTTGTTGACAGCCTGAAGATGTTTGTGTTTACAGCTCTGGTTAACAACTGTAACCCGTTAATGAGGATTTGTGACTAAAGAAATTTAGCTTCAAAAATGTTTGTGACAGTCCAAGTTTAATTGTGCAGAATGAATGTTTGTTTAAGGAAAATAAAACATGCTCACCTCCCGTCTTAGCGATGATTTGAAGGTCTGGAGAAAGAGGTCCATCACCTACTGAGGTATAGGCCAAAACCTTGATGTAGTAGGTCTTATTGGGGATGAGGCCCTGGATGGTGACAAAGTTAGACCCCCGAACAATCTGCTTCTCCCAGAGGTTGACGTGCTGGGTAGAATCCATGGTGTAATAAACTCTGTAGCCCATGATCTGACCGTTAGCCTCCTCTGGTTCATCCCAGTGGATGACGGCTGTGGTGGTGCTCAGCATGTGACCTCTGACCTGCCTTGGTGCCGTGCTGGGTGCCTGCTCAGCCGTTTTGGCCTCGATGCTCTCGCTGGGCGGCCCTCGCCCAATGTTGTTCACCGCCACCACCCGAAACTCGTAGTCCGAGTACGGGCTAAGGCCTCCAACGCTGTACCGAGTAGTGGCTACGCCGTCGATCTCCTTGTACGAGTCCTCTGAGTACTTGGACTTGTGTTGGATGATGTAGTAGGAGACTGGCTCAGGATTTCCAGAGTCCCAAGTCAGTGTTATGCTGGTGGCTGTGCGCTCTGTCACCACAGGAATGCCAGGAGACTTGGGCAATGCTGTGATGATAATTATTACATAAATATTCAGAAAAATTCACAAGATACAGCAAACATTACAAAGTTATACCTCTATAGACTTTTTCTGTTATAGACTAGAGACTATTTTAATTTATCTGTTCAATTATATTGATTACATTAATTTACCAGCCCAATGCACTTGGTATTAATGACAAACAGGATATTTGATGTCATAAGAGTGCTTTCTATTACAGTAAGGTGGATAGCCTTAATACTATTTAACTTTTCTAGTTAACATTTGTAAGAAAATAAAGTTGTGTATGAACTAACGTTTGAGATTAAAGGCTTTCATACCCCCTATTCAGCAGCTGAGAGTGCTGCTGTCGTTAATCTCTGATTTCCCAGTGTTTATCACTTTAATAATTTAACAGGTAAATTTATCGCTTTAATTCCCCGCACCGTGGCACATGGCAAAAGATCCCAGGGCAATATATTGTCTTTATATGCCATCTGAAGTATGCTTCTGGGGGAGCTTGCCTCCCGACTGTTATATTGTGACTAATATCTCTGTTATGTCTAGGAAAAACAAAGCTGAGCGTGTGTGTACGTGAGTCAGTCCCTTGTGTGCATGTGAACACGGCGACACCAATCTGAGATATCTTTCTGGTACGCTGCAGTGTAGATATGATTACACTCAGATAAGTACCGTGTCTACAGAGGACACCAAACAATACTCACTACGTTTCACACCCCCCGCATCATGCCCCCTCCTCCCTACCTCTTCCTAACAGAAATGGTGAGCTTGTGGCTTTGTAGCTCTCCAGCTGAGAGATAAGCACTTCACTATATTCTCATTCTGGCATCTAATGCACTGAGGCTGGTGCCAGGGCTTGTCTAAAGCTTTAAGGAATCCTCCACAGATGACTTATCGTGGCGGGGTGAGGTAAATAACTTTCTTTAAACCATTGCCAGTAGTCTCTGCTTGGATAGTTTATTCCTAACATAAACTAGCATCAAATTCATATGTATATTTTTAAGTACATGCAGAATTTGAAACAATTTGAGATTTGCTATAAGTGAGCTATTATTAAAGCTTGGATAAGTATTTCAGAAGCATTGTTTTTTTTAATTTGTTAAAATTATCTTCACATCCTGAACAAAAATCTAGCCCTTTCTTGTTAGTTTCTCCAATGATTCCTACACTAATTTTAAGTCCAACTCTAGCATTAATATAGCTATTGTAGGAGTATACTGCTGAAATGTAAGCCCTTAATTATAAATGAAAGGAATAAGAAACAGCATTACCTTTCACCGTTATCTGTGCCACAGCCTCTATCACTCCCAGGGTTGACATGGCCACACAGGTGTAGTTGGCTGACTGCCGGACGTCTGTTAGCTCCAAGACGTTCCGTCCGATGGGCATGTCGTCCTCTGGCGTAAGGTCTTCAGCCCCCAGCATCCACTTGACATATGGCATGGGAGAGCCCACTGCCACACATGTGATATTGACACTGCCGCCTGGCATGATCTCATTGTCTGTAGGTGGAATGGAGAATCGTGGTGGCACCCGTCGTACTGAAAAAGACAAAACATGGTGTTAAAACCCAGAAGGAAATGGAAAAACCTTGAATACCATTTCTAGAAAAAAAAATCTAAATTCCCTTCAAATGTTACCATCAGAAACTAAACTTTCGTTTAAAAGGTATATATTATGAAATTAGACATTAGCAGAATTGTAAAGGTTTAATTGTTATACATAATAAAAATGAAAGCTGTTTCTAGATAGATAATTTATCATTGTTTGATGAAGGTTAAGAAAACACATTTAAACACATTTGATCTGAGAGATTTCAATGGTGAATGAGTTAACACCAACATGAGCGCCATGCACAAAAATACTGAATAATCTGTACAGATATACACAACTGCACAAAGTGCTGGACAGTCGACAGCACTCCACAGTTGTATGCAAAGAAACAACGTTTAGGCTGCGCACTTCCAGCTGATGTGAGACAATGTGCCGCATCACATTCTCACATCACACAAACATAGATATTACTCAAGAGAAGTCAAAAACGCATCAGAGGGGGGAAACAATGTTTTTCTGTGCTTTTTAGGCTCAGTCCAAAGTAGAAACTAGGGCTGTCAAATGTTATGCATTCACACTTTGGATCAACTTAAGAGTGATAACGCAATCACTCTGAATATGTTTCCCTGTCCTGCATTTTGACCCTTTTGCTACTATCGAGATACTCTCCCAAGGCTAAGCTACATTCCTGCAGTACCTTTATGTATTTCAATGATAAGTAGCCTGCCATGCTTAGTGCTAGCCTACTTTTAATATAAACAATGCCATGGAGGTGGATTAGAAAGGTAAAGTTTTAGGAGTGACTTCAGACTTTAGAACTCTGCCAGACAGAAGGATAAAAGTAAAGCTATACAATCTTTCTTTATGCTGGTGAATTCAGCAATGAATGAGATATCTTTAGCTTATCACAAGAGGGCCAATTATGTTGGTGCTTAGAGCACTTACCTGTCTGGCCAGACTATATTCTATGATACTATGAAAATTAAGAACAATAACTAAGAGGGAAACATTACTAATAAAAGCTTTTCAACTAAATTGATTTCATGATTTCTGTACAGTATACATAAAATACAAATTTTGGAGCATCTGAATGTGTGCTACACTTGTTACTTACTGTTGAATCTTAAATTTAACCAGGATTTTTGTTGTATATGTGTTTTTTTTGTTTGTTTTTAAAAAAAAAAAATATAATCAAGTGTAATTTTATTTTGAATAATAATGATTAACTACAGCAACAATAGAACAATATTAATCTGGTTTTAAAAATTCATATCATTTGACAGCTCTAGTGGAAACACATTCCAAACAATATTGTCAATAACCAAAAAATAAAGGGCTAAAATCTCAAAGAAAAGGTTACACTTGTAATTGAACTTAAATATATGACATCCATAATGTGCACGGATGGCTTCAAGGCCTTTTGGAGGGTAGCAACAGTCTGTCATGCATACAAGAACAAGACGTGACTTTGTGAGGCAACCAATGTAAGGGAATCAGGGGGAAGAGGGCTGCAGGGGCAAAATAAGTAGTAACAGGGTCAGAAGGAAGCTGTGGTATCACAGAAGGTAAATGGAAGCGTTAGTCTGACAACGTTACATTGCTGTAAATGTGAGTAGCATAAGCTAAAGGTCCTGAGAGAACCAAGAAACACTTAGAGAAGAAGACAACAACATCTTAGCACAAAGGGTAAATGAATGGACAGAAAGAGAAATATCAAGACAATATATATATATATATATAATTTATCCTCAGCTTTTAATGGAGAGGATTTGTATACACATATTCAAGCACAGAGTATGTGGATACTAAGGGGCTTAGACATAAGGGAAACAGACAGAGACTACAGGTATTGTTATAAAACATCTAGAAAGGATTGACATAAAAAATAGTCAGTGTTACTGCTCATGTTAGTTGAAATAGATTAAAGTTAGTTTAGTTAGGTTGGATAACTCATTAAAATCTTTTGTGAATCTTGAAGAAAACAATTAAGAAATAGGTCACTTTTAAATGTCTAAATACTTGTATTTACTGCCCACTTATTGACTCTGCTTTGCAAACAGTCTCTATAGTAAATACTGTGACTGTAAGCTAGTTATTTGTGCAGGTATTTCCTTTTCTTTTGCTTCTGACATAGGCACACGCTTCCTGCTGCCTGCTTCTAATTCACAAAGCCCATTCTGTTGAGCAGACTGCAGCTCTCCAGAGAGGAAAAATAGGGGAACTGCTTGCATTATTAAATACAACGTTTCTCTCACTCAATATTTAATTAATATCCAATTGGATCATGCTCCCCACAGACATAATATTATCCTGCTCATTTGAATATCATTACATTTGTCAAGTCTTGTGGATAACGCTCTAAATACATCACTCTTTCATAACTTCCTGGCAGAAACATCCTCGTCAGAGGAAGTGTATAATCTCTGAGGGCAAGGTTGTTTTTACGGCTTGGCGCTTGGCTTTAGTGCTAATTACAACAAAGGATGGATTTTGCTTTAACATGTTTTTATCTCAGAGAAACTTCAATCCAAGGGAGCACCACAGGGAAAATGTGAGTGTAGTGATGCTTGAATGGCTCTATGGAGAGAGAGATTTAGTGCTCATATGGAGCAGTACTGCATCTATGTGATCAACAGCCATTAGTTCCAGGAGAAATCAAGGACGTTGTTCCAGCTTTTATTGTGTTTTGTATTTTTTTAAACATATTTTATTTTATTAATTTCTTATATCCTATGGACCTTTGTTATTAGTCATCAGAGAAACCAAGCAGGAACACTGACAGGGTTGAGGCAGGGGCTGGGGAAAGGGGATGACCAGCTCAAGCACTAAGGGGTGACCATGCAAATAGACCCTCAGAGAGATGCAAATATCGTCCCTACCACCCCACCTCAAAGATGCAAACATGCACCACCTGTTGGACAGTCAAGCATTCTGACAAGGACCAGGGTCATTCTCAATGGGTACGTGAACATTGAATGTGTGACAGATAGAAATGATATCAATATAAAATAAAAAATAAAAAACTGAGAAAAAATGTTTTTGTGGCAAACAAATGAACTTCTTTTTTGTGTTGTGTTCAAAAAGTAAAAACACACCAACCTTCTCGCAGCTCTGAGGGATGTAGGGAATTTGATGCAGAACAAAATGAAATAAGGACAGGAGAAAAACAAGGGAAACACAGAGAGTAAAAAGGCCATATTTTAGGTGTTCAAATGCTACTTAAACAATTCGAAGGACCTTCTGTTTCTAAGGTGCCTGGGAGCCCCTTATATCTCCCTGGCACCCAGATTACAAAGCAAATATCTGAAAGAATATTTATTTTTAACAATAAACAATAACCCTAACCCTAACCCTCTACCTAAGCCATGTGGTTAGCTTATAATGATAATTAAAATTATTATAAATGTTATTATAACATATTATATGGTGCATAATTCTTCTAGGGAACTGGATCATAACTGATGATTGCAAAAGCTAATGATAGGACTGAAGAGCATTGTAACATTTATATGAAAATTACAAAAAAATATAAAAATATGTCTACACATCTGCTACACATTGTGTATTTATTATATATTATATATGAAGCCTTGACTGCTCTGTTTAAGTACAGGTGAGAAGCACTAACAGTTTTACTTTAAAAGAGTGAAGGATCACTAAAGACTTTTTTTTTTATTTGCTAATATCATTAAGCTATATTTTCTAACACTGTGTAGCAAACAAAACTGGGACTATGTTTTTACAAGCTAATTTTACATATGGAGTAGGATAATGAAGACCCTCTATATTAAAAATGTGTTTTAACTTTTGACTTTTTGTCAGTAACAAAAATAATGAGATTAAAGGTGTCCTTCCAATGTTGATCAAATGGGAGAATAAAAGGCCAGGAAGGATATGTTCACTGCTGGGAAAAGAGTGAGGACTGATGGAGGAGGGTCATCCACCCTTTACCACCTCCGGCAGTCAGGTTTGAAAGGCAATTAGTAGATAAACACAGCAAGCATTCTAGTCATTGGTGTTACACTCAGGATAATCAACAAAAAGGACCAGAAACACATAACAGATCAGATACCGTAGGTTCAAATCAGTGCAGGTAAGTCAAGTGCAAAAGAAAACAAAAAGATCCACAAAATCAAAAGTAAGGCATACTTACAATGGCCTAACAGGATATGGCTCCTGCAGACTTTATTGGCTGATTTAAAGATTCCTCATAAATTTTAGAAAAAATGTTAATATTATGTTTGATAGAAGCATGCCAGTGTTGTTAACACGCGTTTCCTACCTCTGACGTATAGATTTGCGGGGGCAGAGTAGCGGGTTCCATCGTTGTTGGTTGCCACACATTCATACTTCCCCTGGTCAGACTCTTCGCTGTGCTCTATCTGGAGGGCTCCTGGTTGGGAATAGCAAACGGGGTAGTGGAGTATGTTTGGTTAAAATGAAGTTGATCTTATCAAGTTCACAAGCAAAAATAAAAAAAAGAAAATAACTTGTTTGACCTCAAGGCACGAGGCCAACAACACAGCCACATTCATTTCTAGTTTTGCTTTGACCTTTTACGTTTCAATAGTTGGACAGTTTGAGGAAAGTCGTAATTATACAATATCCAATAAACTGTGTGAATAAAATACTACGTTGTTGTATCTGTTACTATAAACTCTGTATTAAAGTTTATCCCCCATCATTATCACAGCCTGATCCACTGGCTGGGGTAAAATGGAGACTGTGTTATCCTACTATAGGTGAGGGATAGCTGCAAATGGTAATCATGCAAGACATTGCAATATAAATATATTGTTCCTCTTAAAAGGCCTAAAGTAACAACAAGGGAAAATAAAATGTTGTCAACCAAATTCAAAAGAAAAGAAAAACACCTAAGATATCTTCTGTCTATTATACGTTTACCTTGTTGATGACTTCTTTAAGAAAAAGCCTGATTACTTATAAAGCTATAGGGTCTAAAAAGACACTCATCCTAGCGCCAATGTAAAAAAAAATTAATAATTTCACTTCGAAGAATAGGGGCAAGCCCTTCAATATACAACATGTCACTGGACTGGTCAATATGGGGATGAGTGATACTGCTTCAGGGAAACATGGATCAAACAAAAGAGGTTTACAGTATAAGAAAGCAGCATAACAAGGGAGGACAATTGAAAGAAAGAAATTTAGGTATGAATTTTAGCATATTCAATCACAGATCAAGAGTAACATTGACCTAACAGAATAATTTGGGACTTCATCTAGGTGAAGTAGCTTTCAAAAAATGCAGCCCATACAAAAAATTGAAAAATGCTGCTCATATATGTAGAAAAATGTTAATTGAAGTAATATGTAAGGCAAAACCAACATATAACCCTCTGTAACAAAATTTGACATGCAAATCTTGGCAAGAAATGTATGTCGGCACAACTTACAACCTTCTGACAACCCTTAGCTGAAAAATAAAATGCAATTGTATTAGAAGACAAAATTCAAAATATCGGCTTGGGCCGACAAGAAGGTAACCAACCACTGCTTTAGCTTGTGAAAGCTACAAAAGACACCCATAAAAATCCACCAATGGGATCAGCAGTGTGGTGTCACATGACCAAGGGAAAAATGGCTTTTATGCATCAACAACTCTCCAGCTTCATGTCACACGGCAAAAATGAGCCAATCAGGTCCTCGTCAGACTCTACTGTTTGCCTTCCCCAAACCCTGAAGAAAAAAAGTCAAAAAGTAAAATATTCTCCAAACCCAAGAAAAGTAAGAAAAATAGGTGAAAGAGAAAAAAAGCACCGTAGAAACTTTATCAAAAAAGTGGTTGTTTGGGCTTTTTTGTAGAGGTACAGGAGAGGAAAGCAAATAGAAGAAATGGAAAAAAAATAGTTTGCAAAGATAGAAAGAATTCTTTGGGAGAAAAAAGCAGAGGAGAGGCAATGTTGTCTTCAGCATGCCTGCGTGATTCCACAGCATCTGTGCATATTTTTAGTGCTGAACAAGAACAGCTAAGGGGGAAAAATGCTTGGTTGTTTTAGTTGGACAAAAAGAGGGACACATGATTCGCTATGGCCAAAAAGAAAACAAAAATGAACGGAAAAAATATAGTTTAAAAAATAATTGTCATTGGATATGCTTATTTGAGCCAGGGCAAGCATATCACAACTGAGCTAAACAGGCTCTTGAAACCAGAATACAAAGGAGTAAATAAAGCATAGACAAAAAGATGGAATACAAATTTAGTTAACGAAACAGGACAAATAAGAAGGAAGGTCCATATGAACGTAATGGGATTTGGTCTCGGTAAACAGGACAAAAATGGAGGTGATTCAAGTGAATGGATGGGTTGACAGCAAGAATGAATTTGTATTATTTTCATTCTGTGAACGTCAGTTCAGCACTCTTACCTCTTATTGGTGTACCACCTGGGTGGATAATATGAATGCAAATAAGATTAGAAAGAAGAAGCATTAGTACGAGTAGATAGAGGCTGGGGCTTTGGAAGAAGAATCAAATTAGATTTAACAGGGTACGTAAATAAAGGTACTAGAGGAAAGAGAAAGGAGAGAGAGAGAGAGAGAGAGAGAATAAGAACTTTTCTGTACTCTACTGGCAGAGAAAGACAGGATTCATCATAGAAAAATCATAGGTCAGAGAGAAGAACTTGTACATTGGTGTGCCACGGGGAGGTGCCATTTTGGAAGTGGCAATGGCTTCTGAAGACCATCTACTGAAGGGAAAGACTTTGAGGACTTTGTGTATGAGATTGAGAGCAGAAATATTTAAAAAAAAACTTGAGTACCCTTTGCTTGATCTGAGCTGGTCACCTCCCTAAAACTCTTGAACTTTCCATACCTACTGTGCTGGTGTTAAAAGGTTGAATAAGTGAGTAAGTGGTGGGTCAGTGAGTGAGTAACACACATGTGAGGACAGGTCATTACTCAGGTCAGTATATGACAATACTAAAATAAGGTTTGGTGATTCTAATCTCCACATAAAGTGATACTATAGCTGACAGTGGTAGGTGGACACTTGAACACCTTGGGGTGAGGGAAGAGTGTGTGTGTCTCTAGTAGTAGCCCTGAAACTATCCTATCTGTTAGTAAAATGCATGCCATGCATTTTAATAGTTGTTGGAAACATGGAAATTAGTGGGGGGTGATGTGTGCTTTAGAGCTAAGCACTTACCAAAGGATTCTGTAGATTTAAAAATATAGAGAGAAGAAAGACAGCATAAGAATATGATTATATTCTTTAAGTAAGTTTAGTTAACAAGGTTTTGTTAATGCTTTAATAACTATGTGAATCAAAGTCGCACATTAGAAATAAGGGTTAATTCTACACAGTTCTGTTGAAAACAAGTCAGCAAGGAAGTAAGGTTAACAAGACGATTTAACAAAGGACAGCTGTGAAATCTGTGAAGACAGGTGGTCAAACATACAAGACTTAAAATTTACAAGTAGTTGTGCTAATGTGTTGCCGTTAGCCAGCACAGAAAGCTGCAAGCTATGATTTCTGTAACATTGTTTTAGAAAATAGAATAACCTCTAGATTGAGATATTGAAATCAAACTTGGGATATTCAGGTGAATGGGTATATTAGGGTATATCACAGGCAAATAAAAACAAAGCTGGCATCTACACATTAAAGCAGGGGCTGTAAATTCAAAGAATCAAGGGGTAGGGGAAAAGCCTTATGAAGATTTACGCACTACTGTGGCTGATTAGTGGTCAGAATTAGATGTTTGTCTTTAACCTAAATAAAGTTCTTAGACAAAGCAAATATTTATTCAGAGGAGGTTCAAGGATCCCTCTTTTGATAAGTAAAATTTCAACAAATGCACAAGGACGATGATTCATTTGCTTTTCTGCACGTTGTCCTATTTTAAAATCATGTGCACTCCTTAGCAGATTCTGAATGAAGCCGAATGTTGAATATTAATTGTTAAAAAAAGACATAAGAAATGAAGAGAATGGATCCAAAAAATACTGCACCAATGCAGTGGAAAGGAAATCAACACAAAACAGCAAAATAATTTGTTGTAAAAAGTCACAGCAGTGAGCAATGAGGGCAGAAGTTAGGGCAGAAGCCAGCAAACACAGAGGGGAAACAATCCCAACAGCCCATGACAACACTGGAAGACAAAGGGAGACGCACATACAGACAACACACACCGGGGCGTACAGAGAGTAGAGGACAGGAAATAGTAGAAACAATGCCATTACCTACAAAATGAAAAGCCAAATGAGAAGTTAAATTATGGGAGGAAGAAGAGGATGAAAGAACAGAGACAACAGGGGGAGCAGATCAGATAGAGGATAACAAGAAAGAAGACTCCCTGTTTTGTAATTAAGTTTTCAGCAGAGGAAACCTACCTGATCTGAGCTGTTTAATGCGCCCATTGTTGTTGGTGGTGTTGACAGGGAGGAAGTCTTTGAACCAGGAGATGTCAGGGTCAGGGTTGCCACTGGCGGCACAGAGCATTGTGGCAGTGCGCGTTCGCTCCACCACTTTCAACTGTGGGCCCATGTCTATGGTGGGGAAACCAGGGGGCAGCTGGTCCTCTGGAGACAGATGGAAAGACATTGTGGCAGAGGTCAGATTCAGAAAGTCACTGGTCCTCTGGAAACCCTGTGCAGAGCTAGTGAGGAGGTAGTGATAGTGGAAATTATAGTCATTGGACTGCAGAGCGGCAGAATGAGTGAAAAATAGGGCAAATAGTTTTTTGGTCATAGGTAGATGAGGGTGCATAGTAGCAAAGAGACAGTAATGTTGCGAGATAGTTAAACTTTTGTCACAATATTAACTCATCTATCATTCATTATTTCTAAAGCTATGACATTTAAAAACTCTTTTCCCTACCCATATGTGTTATTGACAAGGACATGAAAATGAAGTGAAAATGGAAAACGGCATACCACTCTCATATCTGTCCATTGAATATGAAGTTAGGAGTCACTTAGCTTAGGTTAGCATTAGGACTCGAAGACATACAGTAGCCAGGTTTTGTCCACATGCAGTAAAATCTGCCTAACAGCACATCCAAACATCTTTTTTTTTTTAACCTAATTTATTAACATCTCATTTTTTTAATCTAAAAAATGTAAACAATTTGGTTTTAAAAGGGCTTATGAGGGGGAATACTTAGCAGGATGCAGTGACTCCTTTTCGTATGGATTAAACAAACAAGATGTTCACAATGGTATTGATCATCCCATCTAATTCAATGCAAGAAAATCTACAAGGTTTTTCCCCAAAATGCATTTCTATTCTTTAAATGACAAAAAGGAGGAAACCATAGCAACACTGGCTAAATGTGTATTTTGGTGAGGTGGAGCTTTGAAGTTCTTTGAAGATGGCAGGTGGCTTTGCTGTGCTGTAAGCTGTCTTCTTTCTGCCTGTGTCTCAACTCACAGATTAAACAAGCTACATCTTGTTGCTGTTTGGAGATGTTAGAGAAGATAACTCACATTGCTCCTTGCTCCAAACATGTTCTTTTAGCAAAATAAAGAAAATCAAAACCTAGAGCAGCTTTGTCTGAAGCTCAGCACTCTGAACAGGAAGTATTTTTGGCTTGCAGCAAGTGAACTTTGAGAGGGCGCAGAGTGGAATATTCCATACACGCCACAAGATCTCCATATGCAAAATGTTTTCCTCTCTAAAATGTTAGCTAAGTGTTAATCTGCAAAACAAAACCTGCTTATTCTGAATGCCAATGAGGTTTATGTGCACCTTTAAGTTTTCCTTTCCCTGCTGTGATATGACTAATTAGTGTCTTCCGTTGCTCTCATAAACGGCACCTTTTTGGAAACACTTTCTTCATTAAATTTTCATGAGGAGACATCAGTCTGGAAACAGCTTTGAGATGCCATAGTCTGCACACAGCCAAACGACAATCATGGCTGCCTTCCAACAATGCTTTTGGGTATCTGGCATGAGAAACCAGCTCGATGGATAAATCTTCTCAGAAAGAAACTGTATCACAATTAACTGACTTCAGACTGAACTGCAAAACTTTCCGATGCAACTCTGTGTCCCTGCCTGAACTGACGTGTGTTTTGACAGGGATGGAAGGAAACTGTTTGTTGCATGTTTTGCAACGACCAACACACAGCAGCATTGCTTTTTGGTCTTCTCAAATTGGTTTAATGAATTTTAATCCTATATAATGCATGCTTTTAACACTGCTCATTTTCTTGGCAGTTGCACACTGTTAGTTATGCAGGACTTCTTGGCCCATGCTTCCCAATATGGTTAATCACTGTAAGTCCTTGACATGATGTGCAAGATGTATGTTATCTTTATCCCTTTCAGTATCCATTAAGGTAATGAGTGATGTGGCAACTATACTCTTGTTAAAAGTTTGGTGGGTAGGTGTGTGGCACTGGGTTTACTTGTTTGCACAAAATTGATGTGCTGCTCATTAAAACAATAACCACTTGCTCACACAGTGGTCATATTTACTCAACATCATAGTTAAAGTAGAAAAAGTTAAGTTGGAGGATAGAATTTTGTTCTTGGATAAAACATTTCGAATTTTCCCATATGTCTTTTTATTTCCTGTTAAACTTGTTTTTGTCACTGTTCATATCTGCTTCAACTGTGCTTCATTAAATTTTAGATTGATAGGCTTTAAAAACTCTATTAGCCTCCTTATTTACAACTGCATCAACACAGCAGCATTTTCAAGACAAAGAGGCCAAAATTGAATTAGATGAATCACTATTTAATTTGAGCCTCGACTTGTTTGTCGTATCTTTTTGCAGAAGTTGGGTTCATTGACAACGTGTTAAAGCTAGAGAATGAAAATTAATCAATCAGGGGCAGAGCGGCTAGCAGTTTTTCCCAAGAGCCATGTTTGCAGTTCCGCAAACAGTCAGGAGGTTGGTTTTCAACTTGTGGTTACATAAATTATTAGCAAGGAGCCACTTCATTACTACTTTAGGAACTCTGAGCTGCATCCTGGAGTGGAGATGAGAAAAGTTTACTTGTAGTGCATTTGTTTTTGAATGTGTGTGTGTGTGTACTACATGCTGTATGACTAGTCTTATACAGCACCAACATCAACATAGTAAAAAAAAAAAGTTAAAGATTATTAGGTTTATAAAAGGTGCAAACATTCATTAAACTGTGTACTTTGATCATCATTCACATTTCCATGTGTTGTGTATTTTTTACATTTACAATCAACACATACATTTAAATAGTTTCAGATATTCGTACATACAACATGTCACACTATTTTAAATTTGGTGACACAGTGCATTCACCAAAAGGAGCAAAATGCATGGATACCATGCAGGAATAAGGGTAAAAGTAACAGGACAAAATGCCTGGTTGCAACAACTTATCTTTTTTAAAAGCAACACGTTAACGACAATAAAGTAGTGAAGGAATAGTCTAATGTGAGAAACTGCACTTTCAAAGGTGCTAATTCAAATGGAGAAAGACAGGGAGGAGGGTGAAAGGAATTAATTGTACAAGGTAGCTCCTGTCCAGGCTCCCTTCAGCCTGTTCAAGGTCGAACAGACAATTAGTCGATTCTACAGTGAGTCAAAAGTATACCTGATCAAACACAATAGCCAGAAGCAAGCCTAGGAGCATGGATGCGTGTTGAATATAGTAATTGGATGTGACAATCCATGCGAACTAAAAAGCAACTCCTGTGAAATTGCAATGTATTCTAAAACAGAGTACTCAAGAGATCATAATTTAGCTGTCCTTTAAGACGTCAGAATTGTTCTCATGCTGCAGTATGCAATGTCCCTGGTTATTCAGCTCTAAGGAGAAAAGAAGAGGTTGTGGGACAACATTCAATTTAAATTATAAATGGTTGAGCCTTTGTCAACATGATAGCTTTTCAAAATCAGAATCCTGTAAAATGTTAGGACAGAATAAGGATGCAGTAGTATTCATGTCTGATTTACACTAGGGATTAAATACAGTATAGCTAAAATTGTGAAGAACTTGTTCATGTGTACAAAGGGCACTTTCGCCAAACCCATCTTCCCTCTATAAAATACGTGTTACATGATGCTAGCCCGTAACTCCAGTGCGGGGAGATGATATGACTCAAGGCAGCGCATTTAAAATTAATGAATTAAATAAATCTGTTACAAAAGGTTTCTGGCCTTTTGAATGCATTCTTGCTTAGCCCAGAAATGTATTTTACAGCTGCTTTGTGCACTCGTGCTCATCTAGAATGGCCACAAAGTCATGACATCAACTGTGAGGTATCTTAAAAACTTTTCTTGCATAGAACTTGAGATTAAGATACAAAAAAAGGAATAATAAACATGAGTACTTTGACATTTTTAAGCTCCTTGCAACTCTCAGCTACACTTCATTTGCTTCACAAAGAGGATTGCCATTGTGATAATAAATAGGGGAGGGAAATTGAACACATTTGCTAGCTTGTGCTGTGATTAACAACTCATGTCAACAGCACTGCTGCAGCATTTTCCTTACAAGATGGAGACCGAAATGGAATCGGATTAATCACTATTTAATTTGAGCCAAGACTTGTTTGTCGTATCTTTTTTGCAGAAGTTAGGTTATTGACAGCGTTTAAAGCTAAAGAATGAAAATTAATCAACCAGGGGCCGAGCGGCTAGCAGTTTTTCCCATGTGCCGTGTTTGCAGTTCCGCTAACAGTCTAGAGGTTGGTTTTCAACTTGTGATTACATAAATTATGAGCAAGGAGCCACTTCATTACCACTTTAGAAACTCTGAGCTGCATCCTGGAGTGGTAATTAGACAAGTTGTATATTCAACAAGTGAGATGCAATCTGCAAATACCCCGCTAGATACTACTAAATCCTACACACTGAACCTTTAACAGAAAAAAAGGTGTTTTAACAGATTTTCCCCACTTCCTTAATCTACCTCACTGAGAACTGCAATCTCAAGGACAGTCTAAGACAAGGGCAGTTTCTGCTTTACAGACCCATACTGTATATTCAACAATGGATCTACACACTAAATGAGATGGAAGGGAGAGAAATGCTGAAGTCACCTTCTAGAGAAGTGCTGAGCACTGGTACTTGATATAAAAAGACTCCCAATGACAATTTGCACACATTAGCCACCGCCAGGCTATCAGGCCATATGAGTGCATTGTGCCAAGTATGGGAGGAGTATAAAAAGGACATTGGCTTGAAAAGTACCTCAGCGAGCAGATTTTTGCTGAAGACATAAGGCCACTAGACATAAACTCAACCCATTAGCAGATTATATCTATTGATCACACGTACAAAATACGAGCACAAGTGAAATCACATTTGCCTTATATGACAACAGTGGCCATTTCAGTTTCTAACATCTTGCTTAAGTGCAGCATAAATTCAGCACAATTTGTTGTCATACTGCAGCTACCAGTGTACACTGGGTGAAAAAAGTAAACTTCTCACCTGCTGTGCTGTAATGACTTGAGTGACAAACTGAAGTAATATCCTCCTTGTTTAGGCTCTAATTAAATAAGCCTAATTGAGTCTCAACAGATAAATGTACCATACAAACATGATCTGTTAACTGTTTACACATTTGCTCAGGTCGTGCTACACCA